ATGCTCCCCCCTGATGATGGCAGCACCTCCCAGTGTGATCTGGGCACCACTGGGGATGTCAGGTGACTGCAGGTGGCACACTGCAGGGTTTACCTAATCTTAAAGTATATACAGAGGATGATCCCATGTTGAATTTTGTTTCAGTATTTCTGCTTCTATCAAGGAGTAAGTCTGCTTTGTGCTGGCATGTTTTAAAACCTCTTTCTTAAAGAGAACAGGCTTCAGACTCAAGGCTTTTGGCAGGCCGGCTAGAATTTAATGGCAACAAAAATTGCTCATGTTAACTATTAAGTAGATTAATATTATTTCTATAAAATACATGTAAATTTAAAGAGTAATGATCAAAGATCACCTGTTGCTTCACTTGCGAGTAAAAGAACATCCCCTGATTGACCCTCCCCTGTCAGGCCCATCCTGGCTCCTTCTCTTCCCAATTCACAGGTAAATAACCACTGTCCTGATTTTTGAATATCTCATCCTCTTTTCTTTAGAGTTTTACTACTTATATTTGCTTCCCCAACCAACATCTTGTTTAGCCTTCTGTGCTTTGGAACTTGATGTAAATGGAATCATATTATATACATTCCACGTATACTTCTGCAACTTGCTTTTTTTTCACACAACGTTAATGTTCCTGAACAAAAGCCATATTGTCAGAAGTAACTAATTCTTTTTTTTCTCATTATTTCCTAGAATTCCACTTCTGAATATGTCATGGTTTATTTATCTATTCTATGTTGATGGATATTTGAGTTATTTTCACAGTGACTATTTTATTTTTATTTATTTATAAGGTTGCCGATTTTGGGCAAGTGATAGTGGTTTTCTATTTATAGTAGTCATATAGAGGTTCCTTTTTAAATAAATTTAGGTAAATTGAGTCAATTTAGAGAAAAACACTAAGTAAATAATAGGTCAATTGGCCTTTATAGGTAAAGGCAAAATTCATGAGTATGGCACAGAAAGGACTGAAGTCTGGAGTCTTTATAAAATGTGACACTGCCTGCCGCTGACCAGAATGATTGATTCTTCCCCAAACCTGATCCCCAAGCCCACTGTCATGGACTTCCGTTGCCCTCCAGCCCCTCTCCTTATCCCTCCAGCGCCCCCACTTCACACTCAAGTCCTAGTCAACTGCTGGTAGGTCCTTTCAATCGAACCCTGTGGGGTTTTTTCCTCCAGCTATTGCTCAGGCTTCACCCCACCCTGGTCCTGGGGCACATGCACACACACACGCACACTCGCATGTGCACACACACACACACTGCCCACTTGGCTAACTTTACCTGTCTTATTGAGACTTAAATAGTGTGACTTCCTTTAAGAATCTTTTCCTAACACATGCTGCAATCAGGGATAGATGCCTCTAGGATACCTAAACCCGTACACACATTTCCATGGTGTTGTTATAGCGTTTGTGCACTCCCCTGCCCCAGGAGGCAGGGGGCTCCTTCAGGGCAGGAGCCCTGTCTCAATCCAGGCTCCATCCTACAGCTTGGCACGTGGAGGGGCTTACGCAATTACAATGGGTCAACAAATGCACCCATATAATTTTTGTTTTAAATTTTTATTTTTTCTAAAGTGCAAACAAATATAAGGTTGGGAAAGCAACATTTCAGTTAGATGAACTTGATCAGTTCTAAGGAACAACCAGTAAGAGACCAGTAGAGGTAACTACTGGTAAGAACCAGTAGAGATATTTTGAGACTAGGATATTTTGGATAGGAGTAGATTTGTGGATCTTCCAAATGTAGGAATGGTTAACTCTCTTTTTCTATGGGATATCTCCCCCCAAAATATGACTGAAATATTTTTACATTTGCTAGAATAAGTTGAAGTGAATTGAAAACACTACTGATTTTTTAAGTGAGAAATAACCTTCAGACTAAGAAAACCGATTGTGGTCCTCGAATCCAATGATTATATACCATTGTAAAAAGCTTTTTCCCCCCAGAATATTCTTTCCATTTCTTTGAAATTTTAGCATATGTTTCCTTTGCGTAGCTAATGCCCATAGAAATATTACATTATTTGCTGTTTGAATTGATATTTCCTACCAAGGCTCTCTTGACTTTGTTTTAAATTTGCTTGGCTGGAAGCCAGCCGGCTATATAAAAACCATGAAATTTGTTAAAAATTCTTATTTCTAGTCCCTGTCTTTGGAGACTGGGATTCAGCAGATCATAAGAGGGGCCCAAACATGGGCATTTTTTAAATACTCTGAGGATTCTGGCAAACTGTTGGATTTAGGGACCAATGGGGCATTTTTCTAATTTAAGGCACATACACTTCTAGAGTATTTTTTGGTCCACTTTATAAATCAAGTGAAAGCAATTAAATTAAGAAATCCTGCCTATAACCATAAGCCAAGCAAATTGCTCTAACTGCTATGTGATGCAAAGCAAATAATTTTGGGTGTGCTATATAATCTGTCTAATACCTTCACATTCTTTTAACTTGGTTTTAATCCAGGGGAAGAAACAATATTTTCCCATCCCAAAAGGGCCAGTATAATTATGGTTATATATACTGTAAACTTCAAGTAATTATGTAACATTCCATTATTGTACCATGTTCTGAGCAAATTACCGGCTTCTGATCAATAAAACTTCTTTTTTAAGTGTCTGTAAATTGAAACCAAGAAATGAAAATTCCAGTCAATGTTCAGGCAGAACTAATTATTTTAAATCTTCTGAAAAATATCACAATTACCGAGAATGTAGATATCTTATTATTGGACCTGGCATACTTATTTTAATATATGAATTGAGTTGCTTTCCATTATTATTCTTTTCTTTGCTTCCAACCAAAAAGACAAAATACTTCATGTCTGATCACACTGTGAACCAAAGACACAGTGGGGGAATTGCTATACTTTTACTTCGTAATTCTAATAGGATTTGTTATGTTTTCCTTTCTTCTCTCTTTTCACACACACACACAGCTTATTCTGAGGAACTCGAAATATGAAAATATATTTACTCATCATGATAAAGGACATTGAATAATAATCTAAAGAAGTTAATCAGTGTTGATTATCACTGTGATATGTGATCCCACTTTTTCTGGAAATGCTGTTTTAAAAATGTGAAATATAGAAGTAATTGCCTGTCCCCAAAATGTAAGCATTAAGAGAAATCACATGAAATGAAACAAGAATCATCCAATTACCAGCCCCGTAACAAGTCAGAAACATTTTTTTCCTTGTTCCATTTCAGTTCTTGTCCGTACATTATTTTCAAATAGTTGTAATCACGTTATAGATACATTGTCTTCTGCTTATGTTGCTGCTTAACCTTAATTCATTGTCTTTATGTTGCCATGTAGTTTTCTAATAATTTTAAATGTCTGTGTAATATAATATTGGGTGATTGTACCATTGTACTCTTGGACTATCCATATTCTGGAATATTCGCATTATTTACAACATTATAAAATGGAGTTTCATTGTTGACAAAACCAATGCTTCAAATGAGCAAGAGTACATGTTTTGACCCTGAATCTAACATATAAATCATCTGATTACATGGGCCATTTAAACAGATAATTTCCTTATGAGCTGAAATATTTACTGTAGCTACTTGTGCTGCGAGTAAGCATCTCCTCTGAAACCGGTGTGACACTTCATCCCAGACTCGTTGGTTTTCTACTTGCTGCCGTATCTTTCTTCTGAAATTTCAGTTTGGTTTCCCTCTTCACATGACCCAGAAACCAGGAGCTGAGTACTAGGATGGTGAATGAGTTTTGCAGACGGAATTCATTCAAGGAAATTAAAGTTCTGAGTTTTGCTATAATGACTACTTTAATCCTTTTTGTTTTGTTTTGTTTTGAAATATCAAATTATTTCAATTTTATTTCGGTTTTCTTTTGGGGGTACAGGATCACCTGGCTTGGTTGTACCATGAGCAAATGTTTCCTCTTTTCTTAAGTAACTAAACAATTGATGACAGTTAATTAGGTTGGATCTTCATAGAAGAACATTTGCTCTGTATCCTAAAATTCTTATCACCAACACCAAACAGAAATATTGTTTTATAAGCTCGTAGCAGCCTGGAGTTTTCATACCAAATTCCACCTGTGTTTTACATAAGAATTCCCTTAATTTAATTCTATCATGGTAACACAAAGGCTACCAATAGGAATATGAGAAATCTGACCGACTTAAGCATGTTTTGAATTGAGGTCATCATCATTCAAGGGGATTTTGAAGGAAGAAGGGGTGTTTTGAAGGGCAGACTATAGACTGTTAATGAAAGGGTTTCCCGGTGGAGTACAGCCACCGAACGGAAGGCAGTCTTTGTTACCAGGATGTGATTAATATTGCCTCATCATTTAATTTTAGAACTTCCAAAATAAAGTTGTTTGCATCAGTTCAAGGCACATGCTTTGAAACCTGAGAGTGCCTACTTTTTCATTTTTTTTATAATGGAAGTAACATGTGTTTCTAAAAGTTTGGAAAATAGTGAATTGAACGAAGTCTCCCATGGTATCTTTTCCTTTACTAAAACTTCTGCTAATCTTTTTGTGGTCCTTCTAGTCTTTTCTGTTCTTATGTACTTTTTTTTTCCTTTACATTTTTGTAACCATGTTTTATATATAATTTGAATCTGGTGTATTTCACTTCATGTTACTTCATATGCTTTTTTTCCCCAATATTTACAATCTTCATGTCAGTTGTAATTTCTGTATAATATTCCATCCTTCTGATGTTCCCTAATGTTCCTCATCATGTCCTTTATCATCAGGCCTTTAAAATGCTCCACTTTTTATCCTATGCACAATGATGATTATCAAGACCTTGGTCCACACACCATGTTAAAATTGCTCATACAAGTCATGGGGGTGATCTGATCCTGCCATGATTTGCCTTTCTCAACCAGTGTTGTGCTTTTTTTTTACTGAGTTCTTCTGCCTGTTTTTTTGGGGGGGTTTTTTTCAGGGGGGAGGTAGCTGGTTATGATCCACTTCACGTGTGGGTATTTTTGTCTTTCTTTCCTCAGTGGTGAAAGTGGTGCTGGAAAGACAGTGGCTGCCAAATACATCATGAGTTACATCTCCAGAGTGTCTGGAGGAGGCCCCAAAGTCCAGGTGGGTTGGTGATATGACCCATTTTGAGACCTGTACTATATGAAATGGAACCACTTGCTGTTTAAAAAATGCTTTTTCTTTCACAGAAAAGACATTGGTTCTATAACCAGGAAACTCGAAATCTGCAAAGAAAAACATATTATGAGATAGAAATGCCCAATATATAATGAGCTCCTACAAATCAATAAAAAGCTCAAAAATCCAAAAGGAAAATAAACAAAGGGCATGAAAATCAGCTCATGGAGAAGGAAATGTAAATGAATCATAAAACATGAGAACATCCTCACCCTCATGATAATAAGAGAAGTGCAAATTAAAACTACAAGGGAAAACTGTTTCTTAGCTGTCAGAAAAGCAAAAATTTTGTAATACTTTAAACATTCTCTTGGTAAAAATGTAAGGACATAGTCCCTCTCATACCTTATTGATAAGAGCATGAACTAGTATACTTTTATGGAGAACATTTCAGCAAAATCTATCAAATCCACATGCATATACCCTTTGACTTGTCAATTCTGCTTAAGATAATTTATCTTTTAGATGTGCTGAAATGTATCCAAAATGATACATGTATAAAGTTATTTGATGTGGCATTTTTAGGTAATGTAAAAGCCTGGAAACAACTTAAATGTTCATTAATTGGCGTCTGGTGAATTAATTTTTGGGTCATAATTGAGTAGAATATTATACAGCCATAAAAAATGAAGCTTCATGTTCTGATAGGGAATGCTCTCCAACGTGTATTATGAATTGCAAAAGACAAGGTTCAGAACATTGTGTATAATGTGCTGCCATTTGAGAAAAAAAAAAGAGAACATATATCAATATTTGTTTGGATATGTATAACATATCTCTAGAAGGATATATGAGAGACTGATAATGATTTCTTCCAGGAGGAAAACTAGGAGACTGGGGGAAGGACATACTCTCCCTGTCTACCCTTTCAAAACTTTTATGTTTTGAACTATGTGAATAAATTTCCAATCCAAGAAATTGACACAAATTTTAAAAGACAGAGAGAAAAGAGAGAAAGGAAGAAGGCAAGATTGGAGGGTAAATATTAGGAAAAGGGGAAGACCTAGAGAACGAGGACACAGGAGAATGAAAAGAAAAGGAAGGGAATACAATATGAGCAGTTAAGTAGCATATTCAAGAAGATAGTGCAAAGAAAGGGGTAAATACAACTTTATCTATCTTTAGTTTTACTCACTGTGGTAGCAGAATCAGCATCAGTAGCAATGGGTGAAGCCCCCTCCCCAAATAGCAATGGATGTGATGGGGGGGCGAAGGGCCACGGGGTGCTGCCCAAATTCATGAGCTCATCACTGGCGCAGATTGCTGGGGATATTTTTTATTGGAACTCATGCTTGAAGGTAGATTTCACCGTAAAGATTAATTTTTTAATGAGAATAGTTTAATAAGCAATGTTATTGCCACAATCAGCTGTAAACTTTAAAAATACACATCAAAATTCTCTTTATTGTGGCTCTGTCTCCTAATTAAATGGTGCTCCATCATGTCTGGTGGGTCAGAAAACTTAAGGTAGCATCCACGATTCCCTTCCTTGAGTGAAAGGGTCTAAGAGTGGCCCCTTTCACTGAACAGAAGGAAGGTCTAGAGCAGAACTCTCTAGTAGAAAGATGGTGCAAGTTACATATCTAATTCAAAATTTTTCAAGTAGCCACATTAGAAAAAGTAAAAAGAAGCCTATGAACTTAATTTTAAAAATATTGTATTTAACCCAACATATCCAAAATATCATTTCAGCACATAATCGCTATAAAAATTTAATGAGATACTTTACATCCTTTTTGGTACTAAATCTTTGAAATCTGGTGTGAATTCTATACTTGCAGCACATCTCAGTTGGGACTAGCTATGTTGCAACTCAACAGCCACATGTGGCTCATGGCTTCCATATTGGACAGCGAGCGCAGCTCAGGAACCTAGGTTGCTGTAGTACATCCACTTGCTTTTTTTATGTTCGTGTGATGATAGCCTTTTTTTTTAATTGAGTAATTGATAGGTTACAATCTTGTGAAATTTCAGTTGTACATTAATGTTTGTCATTTGTGTTGTAGGTGCACCACTTCACCCTTTGTGCCCACCCCCCACCCCACCTTTCCCCTGGTATCCACTAAACTGTTCTTAGTCCATAATTTTAAATTCCTCATATGAGTGGAGTCATACACAGATTATCCTTCTCTTGCTGGCTTATTTCACTTAACATAATTCCCTCAAGGTCCATCCATGTTATTGCAAATGGAATGATTTTGTTCTGTTTTGCAGCTGAGTAGTATTCCATTGTGTATATGTACCACACGTGTGATGATAGCTTATCCCTAGAAGACTGACATGGAGACTGGAATCCAGGACGCTGGTTCGGGGCTGGGCTGCTCCTTTACCTTAATTTGTTCTTTCTCTTTTCTTCAGTATGCTCACCACAAGCCACAAAATTCTTGGACACTTTGATAGTTGATGGATGGGTGGATGGATACATGCATAGATATTCTCAGTTAGAAAATCAATAATTGAAGAAGGGAAGAGACAGGCAGAGCTTTCCTTTTGTTCTATCCCTACAAGAAGCTGAGTGTTGATAAATGGTGTAGGCATGTCTGGCTAGCAGACAATAGGTATAAAGGATTAATGAAGATCGACAAAATCAAAATAAATTTTACAAAGAAAAGCAATGTTTATATAAATCCATGAGTTTTTAAAGGGGAATAAGCAGCTTGAAGTATGTTTCTCGGCTTTGAAACTGACCCTATGGAGGGACCACCCAGAATTTGCGTTTGGTGCCATTGCTAATGACATGTGCCCCGTCTATGGAGTTTCAGTTCTTATTCCTCTTCTGAATGTTCAGAAGGGTGCCAAAGGAACACTTTGGCTGTTACATAGTCAATTAGTAGTTAGTGCCTTTATCTAGTCCTATTTGCTACAGACCACGACCTAATGACCAGACTGCAGACGTTTAATGTTGACTTTTCTCTTCCTGTTTTCCTATGAGGACGATGATACAGAGCTCTTGGCTTGAAATTAGTCAGTAGCTAAAGAGCACAAACCAAAGACTTGTTATTTCTGGAACTTGTTTAACCATAGCATGCGAATAATTAGAAGTACAAGGAATGACTCACTTATTGAAAGACCTCTCCAACATCAACTCCTATCTGTCGAGCTGTCTTGCCCATGGGGTGTTTTGCACACTTTTCAGTCTGGCACAGAACTGGGGTGTTTGAAAACCAAATTCTTCCCCTCCAACAGGCCAGGAATTGTTCCATACAATCCAGTGTCGGCCCTTGCTGCTCAAAACGTGGCTCCACGCTGGCAAAACCAACAACCCCAGGGAGCTGGTTAGAATGCAGACTCTCGGGCCCCGCCTCAGACCTTTGGAATCCGCATCTGCGTTCTAACAAGATCCCCGCGTGATTCATGCACGTTAAAGCTTGGGAAGCACAAGACTCTGTGTCCACCAGCTTTGTTTGGGAAGGAGAAACTGTTTAATTTCCCTTATGGTACCTCTCTCCTGCAGTGAAGAAGGTGGAAGTGGGGTTGCAATAGGCGGGTAGAGAGGCTGGGTAGAGAAGTGGTAGTGATAGTAAAGGTGATGATCACAGCAGCAAGTAGATGCCCGTCCTGCTTCCCCTTCCTTCCTGTTGTGATTCCCGGCACACCTGGGAGGGCAGGTAAAGCTGCAGCATCCATCTTGGAAACCCAGTCCGGGAATGTTCATAGATCCTCTTTTACTGGCACCCTGGCTCCAGGGGATCCTGCATCAAGTCAAGGGAGTTGAAAGACACGAACACACGAACAGGTTTGGGTCTGTCAAGAGGAAAGAATAAATCCTCCAGAAACCCAGAGACACGTGGATCTGAGGCCTCTCACCTTACTGCATTCGGAAACCAGGTCCTTCGGCAAAGTCTGGGTTCACACTGTGTGCTAGGTGTTTGCACCATCCTGACCTCTGGTCTGTTTGCTGTGACAGCACGTCAAGGACATTATTCTGCAGTCCAACCCACTGCTGGAGGCCTTCGGGAATGCCAAGACAGTCCGGAACAACAACTCCAGCCGATTCGTAAGTCTCTCCCCTGTTTCAGAAAATGTCACCTGATCGATGATGTTGATATTCTTGATTTAAGTCTGGAATCCCCGAGGAAATAGGAGATTTTCCCACATCATCACGAGGCTGCCTTCTCAGTCTTTTCTTCCTTCTCTGAAGCAGCGAGCTGTCAGGTTTCCATGAGCCCTTTGACTGAAGTTACTTTTGAACCTCAGCATATAAATAAGATAATTTTTGCAGACAGTTCTCAACTTGAGTTTCCTTACTAAGAAAAATAAAAATTCATCAAAGCGTCGGCTTTGGTCCTGCAGAGTTTGCCTTGTGCCCTGGAGAAAAGACCTGCTTTCCCAAACAAAGAAATGAGTAGGCTAGCTCCCAGGTCTTGTTGCTTTTCTTTTGTTCCATAGACCTCGGTCTGTGCACACTGGAGGGAGTAGACACTTTGAGCTGGCACCTTGGGAAGAACCTTCATCCTCTTTGTCAGCCAGAGTGAGCCCACCGCCTACGCCACCGTCATAGCTTTGTGTATTTGTTTTATGTCTATTCATGTAACATCCTAACACCCAAAAGTGGCTGGATTTAGCCTGACAGGGTGCCTCCTAATGGCCCACTTACCCAAGGCAGTGAAAATGTCAGCCGAATGCACTGTTGTGAATGCCCATTCAGACGGATTTCTGTCTGAGTATCTCCTGAGGGGGTGAATTGGAAGGCTGGCAAGGATGAATATGAGTCTGTTTCCCTTGACAAAAAGCCACATTTGCAAAGAAATGAATATTTGCCCAGTAGCTTTGATTTATGTAGATGTTGCATCTTATCTCAACCATAGATTATGTCTGGCAGGAAAGCATTCAAGGAGCCATCTGTGAGGCTGATTCTGGACCATTTTAAAATAAATGAGTGGCAATTTTGGAGAAAAGCAATTTCTTTTTCACCCTTCTATTTTGGAAGGAAGCTTCTATTTCCACGAGCATTCTTACTAAGTTCTCAGGCAGGAATTAAGTTCCCTGGTGAGTTATATCTGTCAGGATTGCCCTCACTTTCCTTGCTGTTCAGTATTGTTCAAACTGTTTACTCACTTGTTCATCTTGTCTATTTTTCTGCTCAATGCCTGGGTTGCGTGATCTTGAAGAAGTTTCTAAGTCATGGAATAGGAAAGGAGATGTCAATGAATTTTCCCCTTCACCTTTTTTCCCCTAATTGTCAATCTCAATCAACCTTGTAAAAGTGGACTTGACCAATTGAATTCTCTAGCTAGCCATACCTCTCTTTGCCTTCCTTAGAGAGCAGCAAAATAATTAAATCAATGTTTTCTTGATTTTTCCAATATAAATTGTTCTTTATCCTTGGACAAGGAGGATACATCTGTCAATTTTTATAAAACCAGTCAAAACAAATATACCCAGCATTTATTATTTTTCTGATTACAAAATTTCATACAACCCTGATGGAAAAGACTATGGATGGGCAATTCACACACACAGAGTAATATCTGATGGGGCATCAAAAGATGTTGTCACTAACAATGAGGGGAATGTAAATTAAAACCATTTATCATTTTCTGTCTCTCAGATGGGCAAACATTAAGGAGAGTGATAATACCAGAGAAAAGGTACTATTGGTTGAAGACTGATGCATTCCCCCAGGAGAGCAATTTGGCAAATTTTATCAAAATTTAAAATGCTCATGGCTTCGACTCAACAATACTTTTAGGGTGTAATATCTAAGTTCTCTGTTAATAATAACTTATTTAAAAAGATATCCATAATATATTGTTAAATTTAAAAAAAAGAGGGGGGCTAGCCCAGTGGTGTAGTGATTAATAATGTTCGTGTGCTCCGCTTTGTTGGCCCAGGGTCCGTGGTTTCGGATCCCGGGCGTGGATGTATGCACCACTTATCAAGCCATGTTGTGGCAGGCGTCCCACATATAAAGTGGAGAAAGATGGGCACTGATGTTAGCTCAGGGCCAGTCTTCCTCAGCAAAAAGAGGAGGATTGGTGGCGGATGTTAGCTCAGGGCTAATCTTCCTCAAAACAAAACCACAACAAAAAACCAGGTCCAGAACAATATTTACAATATGGTCCCATTTTTATTTTAAAATGTGCATTATGTACAACATAATTAAGGTGTCTGTAATTCAAAGTTTGAATACACTATTACAACGATTAGTAGGAGGAGTTGGAAGTGGCATCAGGGTGGGAATATGGGTAATTTCACTTTTAAAACTGGACATGTAGTATGGAATATAAAAATTCATATATTTCCACTTACAAATCTTTTCAAGTATTAAGTAATGTATTATGAAATATTTCAAACGCTATTTAAAAATCATACAATGAACACCAGGGTACCCAGTACCTAGCGTAAGAAATAAAACATTATCAAGAGTTGAACTTTCTTCCCATTTAATTATGAAAATGCAACATCCTCTCTTTATACCTATGATTTCCTCTTCCCCTCCAGGCTGCTTTATAACAAAACTAAACTTTTGATCTCTCATTAGGGGTTTTAACTTTTCCATAACAATTTTTTGTTTTTTTGAGGAAGATTAGCCCTGAGCTATCATCCGCCACCAATCCTCCTCTTTTTGCTGAAGAAGACTGGCCCTGAGCTAACATCTGTGCCCATCTTCCTCCACTTTTTATGTGGGACGCCTGCCACAATGTGGCTTCATAAGTGGTGGGCTTGTCCGCGCCCAGGATCCAAACTGGTGAACCCCGGCTGCTGAAGCAGAATGTGGGCACTTAAACGCTGCACCACCAGGCCGGCCCCTCCAACGATTTTGAGTTGTGTATACACATTTCTATTACATTAGAGCAGTGGTTCTCAACCTTGGCCACATATAAAAATCACCCAGGCTTTTAAAAACTGCTCAGGTCTTGGTTCCAGTCCCTAGATAGCGATTTACTTGTATAGGGTGGTGCCGGGCACCAGCATTTCTTAAAGGCTTCCAGGTCTTTCTAACAGGCAGCCAAGGTTTCAAACCGTTTCTAGAAGGACTTGAAAGTTTGCCATTTACTACATCTGCCCTTCCTGGATTTGATGTCCTGTTTGGTTGCATTCCCACCCTCAGACTGATGGGAGTGGTTGGGGGAGTGGGGGACGGGGCATGTTCCGTGGACGGACACTGAATTATTCCCTCTAGAACATGCCAAAAGGAAAAGGTGGTGAAGGATGGCCACAATAGGAAGCGCAGGGGACCTTGTTCAGCAAGCTTTTCTCAAGAACTACTGCAATTCAGGATAGCAGTGGTTTGCGGTCCTTCTCCATGTCTGGTGCTTCTGGGTGTTTGTTTTTGGAAGAGGAAGGAGGAGGAGTCATCAGATTAACATCAACAGACAATTAGAGGGTGGCCTTCTTTTGTAGCCTTTCTGACACCTGGAATTGGCAAGTAAGAGGAGCACAGCAGGCACTGAGTGCTGTAGGCAACAGGAAAAACACGCAATGTGCTTTTCTTGTTCTTGCGAGTTTACGATTTTATTCGAAGACTTGCAGCCCAGCAGGATTCAGCCCTGGGATGGCTGGATTTCATCTTCATACACATTTTTAAAATATTAAATGTGAACGCAATTAAGCTGGGCATGCTTTCCAGTTTGACCCTAGGCCACACCACTCCCTAATGCCCACATTCTCATCTTTTCCTTCATTTAAGTTTACCCTCCTGGTCCTTTCAGAGGACTGGAGAGAAACTCAATTCTAGTGAGAAAAAAATGTCATTTACTTAACAATCTGGACACCTTTTCCAGCTAAATTCCAGGGTTTTAGTCTCCTTTGTTCCTATGGGTAATAATTTAAGAGGAAATGTTAACAACAACCATAACAAAAATCCCCACACTCACAACTGACTGTAAAGAACATTAGTTATAATCAAGTGTTTGTGTTTTGTGTAAAAATTTCAGATGCTCCAGAGGTAAAAGGGATCGCTTTTGTGCAAAGCTGTTGCAGTAAGTCTGCCAGAGGGAAAATTTGCTTCCTCTCAAAGAAGCTGATAGAGTTCACTCTTGTTAGATTAAGGGGACCATGTGATTTCTGCTCCATTCTTTACAGCTTCCGGCTTAGCAGCCAGGCACCTTCTGGGGGAATATGGGCAAAGAATATAGCATGTCCTTACTTAGTCAGGCTGGAAGGGTAGATTCTCTCTCCATACAGAATTGTGTGATTGGACAAAAGCACAGGTTATTGTCTGAGGAAAAAGTAAGGAAGTCTAGAGGAGAGCTGGGAATAATCCACAACGTATCTTTCACTAATGAATTTCCTGGAATTGTATTCTGTATCCAAAGCCTGTTTGGAACATCATGTTTTTGTTCACCAACCATTGAAGGAAATCCCTTACTTTCTTGCAGGGAAAATACTTTGAAATCCAGTTCAGTCCAGGTGGGGAACCAGATGGCGGAAAGATCTCCAACTTCCTTCTGGAAAAATCTAGGGTGGTGATGAGGAACCCTGGAGAGCGGAGTTTTCACATATTTTACCAGGTTTTCCTTTGTATTTTTTTCTTTCCTACTTCTTTGTTCCTTCGCCACATTAAAATTTTGTTTTTCCTCTTAGCCCTCAGGTTTAGACAATTTAGTCTGGCAAGCCAAGGAGTATTTATTACTGTAGTATGTGTAAGTCAATGTGCAAAAGAATTGGGAGAATGTCCCTACCCGCAAGGAGAGTAAGTTCTAGTTGGGATGAGAAGACAAAAATTTCCCCAAAGTTAAATAATGAAGAAAGCGTTGACATAACTTCAAAACAAAATTAGGAGGGTTTAGCTCTTTGCCAAATAGGAATTCACATGGGAGAGTTGGCCGCATGGCAAGGAGAGCTATGAGTGAGGTGCAGGGAGAGAGTGCTCAGGCCAGTCAAGTGGCCTGAACCACGCAATGGAGGTGGGAGCCAGGCCTCAACCAACTTGCAAGGGCAGAAGTCTTCAAAAGGTGAACTGTTGGAAAAGAGACTCAAAATAGGCTTAGGATCTTTAATGCCAGGTCAGAAAGTTTTGACTTAGATGCTCAGAAGCCATGGAGAGTTTGGGGCTAGACTGTGTACAGGATGCTTTTAAATTGGGTTCTAGGCTTTAGCAATCATCTGATTTGACTCTTTTAAAATATTTTTAAGTATTTAAAAAATATGATACCATAAACAATTTTTTTTCATGTATGGGTTTATATATTAGTATTTTGTATATTGAGGATTCGCATTAGATCTCGTTTGAAGAAAGCCCTGCAACTGTTTTTTGTGGGTTTTTTGTTTTGTTATAGTTTGAAGATCACTAGATTAGAAAACAGACTGCGTTGGTAGCTCACATGCAGTCTTTTCAATTATGTAAACATCTTAGATGATGACAAATAATTCTTCTGGCTGGTATCTGTTAGTTGGAAGAAAACATAAATGACCAAAAGGTTGCATGAATTCAATAATGCTTTTAATTGTATTAATCAAAGCACCATGTACAGATGACTGAAAAATAATTTTGTGTATCACACACATAGCATATTATTTCTTAAGCACCAGAGAGAGGTTCATAATTGTTTCCAGGACCCCTTTCAATAAATGCCAACCCCGCCCCCATCCAGTAGGCCTCTGCCCACAGGTTGGAAACCACCAGACTAGGGGCTGGGCAAGTGATGAGGTCAGGAGAAGACAGAGTTCAAGATTCTGACATAAAAGTAATTGTTGAAGCTGTGAGATAGATGAGGCTTTTGTGGGAGTGAAAAATAATGTCCATGCAGGACTTGGGGACCTGGGGATGGTCTGTGGGATGAGGAGACATTGAGGAGCCAGGGAGCCAGTCACAGGAGGAACGCCAGGATCCTACAGTGTCACCAAAGCCAGGGGAAGCTCGAGGGGATGAGCAGCCGGGTCAGGTGCTCAGAGCTCTTGTGAGGAAGGGGTGGGGCAGGGGTTTGGGGACCAAGAAAGCGTTGGATTTAGCTGCTAGAAAGTAGCCACGAGAGTCATTTCATCAGAATGGTGAGGGGAGAAGCCAGAGTGCAGGGGTTAAGTCATGATGAGAAAGTAGATTCTGCAGCTTGAAGCAGTTCACAGAGTCAAAGAAAAGCTTCTAAAGAAGGCAAAGGGCAGTGTGCATTTGTAGAGAAGAGAAAGAGTCAGAGAAAGAGGAGTTTGAAGATGCAAGTGAGAGGGGCTAAGTGATGTGGATGGGGAGAAGACTGAGACAGAGATGAGGAAAGTTCTTCCTCAGACCAAAAAAAACCAGAAGGGGAAAAATAGGTAAAGCATGGTACAAAAAGATTTGGAGGAGACCAGGAGGAAAAGCTGATGTCATGAGATGACCTAGAACTTCTCAGTAATGGAGATGAGATGAGGTTCCCTATTTTGTGGGTGTGGAGCCAAGAAGACCTGAGAAACTTGACCACAAAGGGGAAGTGTGGGTAAGAGCTGCCTGTCTTTCCCTAAATCCTGTTGGGTTGGAGCCAGTGGTGTGCTGGAGCTGGTTTGCATGGGCTGTGGGCATCTCTTCCCACTTCTTCCTTCACTGACATTTTCTTGATAGTTTGAAGTCAGTCGGGGTCGGAGTATTTATACCATGAAAATCAGCAAACGCTACAAATCCGTTTTCCCCCCAAGAGTTGATTGTTTAACGTTTTCCAGCACACCACTGGTGGGAGCCCTTTAAGAGGGTCTTACTACGGCAAATGTCAGAGATGGAACAAAAAGCCAAGGAGCAGTTAGTGGTTAGGAGGTTTCAGAACGCCAGAGTGTGGGACTTGAGACTGTTTTAAGTATGCGCCCAGCAAGGAGAAACATGGAGAGGCCAAGGGCAAATTCTCTGCTCTTGCAGGTCTTCTCAGAGTTAAGGACTGGAATTTGCAGAGATGATTTGGGACTCCTACAAGTAGAGCAGATATTCTGAAACCCCTAGTCTGGAAGGGAGGACCACCCATCATTTTAGAAAGCAGGGTTAGACCGTCCCATTGCCTGAGCCCAGGTCTGGTGGTGGCAGGAACGGTGAAGTGCATTTGATCGCTCTGAGGACCTCATCACGCCCACCCTGCTTTCTCTTGCTCCAGCTCATCGAGGGCGCCTCCGCAGAGCAGAAGCACAGCCTCGGCATCACCAGCATGGACTATTATTACTACCTGAGCCTCTCCGGCTCCTACAAGGTGGATGACATCGATGACAGGCGAGAGTTTCAGGAAACGCTGGTAAGTGCTTGTGCAGGGCCAGGCAGGGTCTGCTCTGCAGACTGGGCACCGCCATGATAGAAAGGGCAGTGAAGGTTAACAAAGCAAAGAGCAGCGTGAGATTTCCACCTCACTCTGCTGCTGGAAGCATGCCATTTCCTAAAGCATGATTAAGCACCCTTAAATAGCCATGTGCCCGGTTGCCTGAGGACCACTTAGTGATTTGAGGTCGGTAAATAGTGAATTCATCGTTACTCCCTGCAGGAGCTCTGATGAATGGGTAAAAACTCTTGTGAGTAGTACCTTTGCCATAACTGTTTGCCGATAGCTGGCACAGTTGTTGAGCTGTTTCCTTAGAAAGGCAAAGCGAAGAGCACTCTAACGACCTTAATCGGGGTTAGAAAATTTAGAACACCTCCAGTCTTTTCTCCAGCCACTTTCTCTTCACCTCTGCATTGTACAGGTCAGAGGGAGATCTCCACTCCATTCTCTTCACATCGTATATATGTTATGGTACCAGATATGAACCGGGTAGATTACAGAGGGGTCACATCCTCCGGGAAACAACTTAAGAATTCAATCTAGAACTTTCTGGAGGTGGGCTGGTCACCTGGTTAGCCTGAAAGAACTACCTCACCATTGCCCTTTGAGTCAGCTACCAGTGGGGCCCATCTTCAACCCAGATCAGAACGGAGTGGGAGACCCTGAATGGGCAACTACAGGTGCAGTGTGAGGGGAGCTGAGGTGTATGCTTGAAAAAGATTGGATGTTCAGATGGTGTCTTGGATGCCAGAAAAAAAGATGGTATCAAAAAGCCACATGACCTCAAAGGAGCTGGGAGAAAAAATGCAGATAAGGGGCCTGCTTTGGTCCTGGAGTATAGTTCTTAAGATATGGATATCCAAGACTCAGAAATTTCAGCTGCTTTTATTAAATCCGATGGACCTCAGAAACGGGACTTTTTTTTTTTTTAAAGGTTGGCACCTGAGCTAACAACTGTTGCCAATCTTGTTTTTTTTTTTCTGCTTTTTCTCCCCAAACCCCTGCAGTACATAGATGTATATTTTAGTTGTGGGTCCTTCTAGTTGAGGCATGTGGGGCGCTGCCTCAACGTGACCTGACAAGTGGTGCCACGTCTGTGCCCAGGATCCGAACCAGCGAAACCCTGGGCCACCAAAGCAGAGTGCGCGAACTTAACCACTCAGCCATGGGGCCGACCCCAAAACCAGGACATTTTAAATAGAGCTTTTATTTGATTTCCTGGAGATTTTTAATCAAGATCCTTTGCAAGTACCATCTATTTTCAGCCCTCCCAATGAAGTGAACAATCTCTGAGCCTACTTGGAGTAGTTGGAAAGGAGGCATGTGTGCCATTAGAGGGAGAGGGGTGGCAGCAAAAGCACACCAAGGGACGAGGGCAGACTTGTTGACTTCGTGTACAGCTGCTGCATCCGACTGTCTTTCCCACTACAGCTGTCTTGCCCTTATTCCTGAAGGATTGCATGCTACGTTTAAAGACAGAACTGCCATGGGGCCAGCCTGGTGGCTCAGCGCTTAAGTTCGCACGTTCCGCTTCGGTGGCCCGGGGTTCGCTGGTTCGGATCCTGGGTGCGGACATGGCACCGCTTGGCAAGCCATGCTGTGGTAGGCGTCCCACATGTAAAGTAGAGGAAAATGGGCACGGATGTTAGCTCAGGACCAGTCTTCCTCAGCAAAAAGAGGAAGATTGGCAGAAGTTAGCTCAGGGCTACTCTTCCTCAAAAAAAAAAAAAAAAAAAAAAGGAGAGAGAGAGAAAGACAGAACTGCCTTTCCAGCATGACTTTGAGACTTGAAGAATGTGTGAACATGCCCTGCTCAGTGATAATGTCTTACAGGGACTTCCAGCTGCCACAGCAAGCTAAGCCACATAGCACTGCACAAGCCAACCTAAGCTTTGGCTTCCTTGTTACCTGCTTATAAAGCTGATGACCAGCTTGTCTGGATGATTTCTCCTTTCTCTGCCAGCACGCGATGAATGTGATCGGGATCTTTGCAGAGGAGCAAACCCTGGTGCTGCAGATAGTGGCGGGTGTCCTCCACCTCGGAAATATCAGCTTCAAGGAAGTTGGCAATTACGCAGCAGTGGAGAGTGAAGAGTGTGAGTGGCTTTGGCACACGGTTGTTGGATGAGGGGAAGCAATTGTTTCATTCCGATCAAGAGTAACCCACCACTTTCCTTTGCTTAGATCCCAACTGGGGCATTGTGGGAAGAGATGAGAAGTGACAGAACAAAATGGCCTTAGAGCGTCTAGGCCTCTTCTCTGCACGTACCTCTCTCCTCGCCACGCCCCGCACCATAGACCATTAATGAAATTGTTCCAATTTATCCTTGACCTTGGGGAAATCTGGCAGAATTTCCTATCTAGGTTTAAAAATAAAGTGATACTTTAATGAAGATTAGAGTCATAATAGCTAAATAACTCCAAAGATTTATCTCCTAATAAAAATCCTTTCTGTAACTCATCTTTAATGTCTTCATTCATCTAAAGGTCCTGAAGAGCAGGTGACAGGATATATGTAAAAACGGAAAGCTCACATGTTCACGGGCTGCCCCGTGGGTCAGATTAGATTGGATTTCTGAAAACAGGGAGAAAAGTGGACATTGATTATTGTGTTGATGTTGCTGATGATCGCCTTTAATGGTCATCTCTGTAGTAGTCAGACCCTAAAGACCTGAATGATTGTTTTTACTCTTTGAGAAGAAATCAGGTCCTTCCTGCAGAGAGTTGTTGCTGGTTTGTATGCTAGAGTCTGCCGCAACCACCGTGGCGCGTAACTTTAGTCTCTGAGGCATCAGAAGAGCTTCCAGCTGCTCTCAGAACCCACACATCCTTTAACCACCCAGGAAGACATTTCTTCCTTTCTCAGCATTCTTCAAGGATGATAAATTTAGATGCTTAGTAATAAATAGTATCCCACTCATTGCTGACAATGCAGTGAGGCTATTTCCATTCCAAATAAGGTTCTTTTTTCATATTTTTGTTTTGTAATAAAAGAGGGAAGTTCTGCTAACTTCTGATGTCTATCTGATAAAGAGAAAGATGAATTATGTTTACCAGGGAAGGAAGTAGGGTGGAAAATAATAAATATACAGGGTGTCCATAAAGTCTAGGAACACAACCTAATAGTAATAGTAACTATAACTATGTTTTGGGACTTTTTGTATGTTATCCTTCACATTTAACAGTACACATTCTTGTCCAGGAGTATCGTTAACATTTGCATTTTAACATTGACAGTTTGGGTTTCTTGATAGTTTCTGTGGAAGTAGATGAGATTTCTCTTGCCTTCTTGGGTAGTACAATCCCTTACTGTCTCTTTATGCTGGAGAACAAAGTCATGACTCTGACACAGCAAGCATTTCCCTGGATGCTTGAGCCAAGGAGTGGTTCATTGCACATTGGCATCTGGAGGAAGTAGCGTCCCCAGCCAACTGAGTAAGGCCCAGGATTAGCAACTGCCTGTGAAACTCCCTTTTTAGAGGTGATGGAGTGATGGAGATCAGGAAAGGGTGTGCTTGAAGCCAAAGAGGTTTAACAAAGAAATATATCCTCCTTCCAAAGATTTGTTTTCTATTCAGTTGGTAATACCTTAACATGGTTCCAATGGGTATACTGTTAAAGTTGTTCCATCTACCTCTTTGCTAGTCAGCTTGTTCCCCTCCCCAGAGGGAATCAATATTTCCAGTCTCTTATACTCCTTTCAAGGGGATATATGTTCCCAAGCAACTACACACACCCATTCTTTTTCCCCCACTTTTGTGCATTAATAGTAGCATATAACATGTTCTACGGTGACTTTTTCACTTAACATTTTATCTTGGGGATTATTCTATATCAATTCATTAAGGAACTTTGTCCTTTTTATATATAGCTGCCTAACGTTCCATTGCTTGGCTATACTTTAATTTAGTGAACCAATCATCTGTTGATGGATATTAAGATGTTTTGGATCTTCTGCTATTCCAATTACTAACGTGAATAACCTGGTTTGTGTCATCTTTCTCATATTTGAGTATATCTGTGGAATAAATTTGTAGAAGGAAGTGCTAGCTCATGCTTTTATAAAGGAAGAAAGCAGCCTTTCTCTAGCTATTATATTGTAGGGAAAAAAATGGTAAGATTTGCATCACAGCTGGCCTACTGAAGCGAAATAGCCATTAATAACAACACGTTATGTTGTTGTCTGACCTTAGACTGATGGAGCCATAGAATAGCCTGAACCAAACATTTATGTTGCTGAGAAGTCAAACAAACCTCAACGTAGGCACATGGGTACCTGCCTTTGTAAATACAGTAAGGTGACGAACTTTTGGAAATAAGTCTTACTCAAAAGATATTAAATACAAATTAACCTGCAAATTTTGTTGAAAGCAATAACAATACTTCTTAAATAACAATGGGACTAAAGTGATAATGCCTCTCTTTGCCCCATCATTAATGGATTAGAAAGCACAGACCCTCAACACCAAAGACAGGTAAACCACATTTACCTTGTCACTTTTTTAAAATTTAAAAATGGAATTTTGTTTTGTTACATCTTTGGTTTCTCTGTCTTCCCTCTACTTCAGATTTAAATGGAAAAATTAAATCCAACTTTCCTTTACACTTTAATGCAGTAATAGAAATCTATCTATATCATCAAAATGTGCTGAAACATTACTTTCCAGCAGGTTCTTTTATGTCCTACATAATGGTTTAGCTGAACAGAGTTACATCATTATTTTTAAATTAATCAATGCCTCCTCCCCACTCTCCCTCCCCACAGCCTCCAAGCTTCCGTACTGACGCTACACTCACACACACCCTCATGGAAATTCACCGCCTGAGGAAGTCAATATGAGCAGCCCTATAATTTCAGCACCAGGGCAGCCACTGAAGAAAACATGAGGCCGTAAAAGCTTGTACTTGAAAAACATGGCATGGATTTTTTTCAAAGCAAGTACTAGATTCCTCTCTAGACTTCCAAGCTGTTTTCCTAAGCTTGTGGCTCTGATTCTTGGCCAAATTCCATGCCTTGTTTTCTTGAGTGCCTGTGGCCCCTCCCTGGTGCCCTCTTCTACAGAAGAGCTAGGAGACATGGAAGTATAGCGTGTTTCTTTGTCAGTCTCGCCTGTCTGTTTTGTCTCAAGGACCCAAGGACTTAGCTCGTATTGTGTTATTTCTTTAGCTGTGGTCATAAAGATAACGGCATAAATATTTCTACCCAATATTTTAGCTGTGTCCCTATTTTAGCATGGGTAGGGGCTTGGGAGAAGCCCATGTTTACAAAACAGACAAATGGGAGCTAATCATTTGTTGTATCAGCTATTCACTGTGTGGTTATCATGAACAATGAGGGGTCCTCGTGAATTTACTATAAACCATTGATAATGATAACCAGTTTATCAAGTGAGACATGCACATACCTGGCTCTCTGCCTGGTGATGGTGACAATAAGTAACATTGTAGTTTCCCCTTAATGAAGACCTCTTATTTGTCAGACACTTTGGTAAATATCTCTTGATTCTCACAGCAACTCTACATGTGTCCAGTCTGATTTATGGGTGTCTTATGTCCCTGCTCTGTGCAAAGGTACGTTCCAGTTTAGTGGAGGACACATCCAGATTCATAAACATACGTGTGAACGTTAAAACTGAACTAAAGGAAGTTGGCTTTTGGCAAGTTAGTGCATTTGATTTTGTTTACATGCTGTTTGTAAGAGGATGCCCTCTACTAGTCAGAAAATTTGTCAAACACGCATATAGATAATAAATACCTTGTTCCGGCATTACACTTTTTCGAAATGCATTCACTGACAATCTCATTGGAAGGTATACACTGAGAAATGTCAGCCTGTTACGTTCTAACACCATCTGTGAAATTCAAGCAGATTTGCCTTTATTGGGAGGCTTGTAATTTTTTAGCATTAGCATAAGGTCTTTAATAAAATCCTTTTATGAGAGAATTTTGGTAAAACTTTATGCAGAAAAAGAGGACTCATATCCAAGTTCAGAATTTTTATTTGCATCCATAAAAATCTTTCATTCATAATGGGAAAAATCTGAGCATTCTTTCATGCCCAAGAATAGTGTCCTTTATTCACATTAGAGTGTTTTGACCAGAAGTCAAGAAAATCCATTTATATCACTAGCCCTCCTCTTGGTGAGTTTCATGGCCTGAAACAAGTTGCTGAGCCATGGGAACCTCAGCTTTTCTATCCAAAGACCACAACCTATGCCAACCACATTTCCTTAGGGTGGGAAGGGTGTGCAGTGGTGTGAATAATACCAATCTCCTCTATTTTACTCCATACACGACCCCGAGAGAAATCTAGTTACGCCCCTCTCTACAAGCCATTCAGACCCCCTTTGATGCCAGCCCAAATATCTCACACCATTTCAAGACCTCCACCATTGGAATTCATCCTAACTTTTTAATCATCTACCTTAACCTTCAGCTGTAGCCAATGCTGGTCAACTCGATGCACCTCAACTGTGTCTCCTGCGTTCCTGCCTCCTCACCTTTACCCGTTCCATTCCCCTCCCCCCTCTTCTTTCTTCCTCTGCAACTGTACAAATTCTGTTCATCCTTTTAGGCCACGCCCAAGTCCCACATCTTCCTCGACCACCCCAGCAAGTAGTAATATCTTCCTGTTTGAAATTCCTCTGGGACCTGATTGTCTGTGTCACATATCCAGCTTTTAGTAGGCTTCTATATTTGGTAAACTACCTTTGCATGCTCTAGATTGTCTTCTAGATTTCTTAAATATTTTGTATCCTGTCCTCTCTCTTTAGTAACCTTACACATGGTAAGCACTCAATGAGTATGTGATTGGTTATAACTATTAGTTTGATGATATCAGGTGCTTCAAGCTCTTGGGGAATGATGCTATGAAAACACTGTACCAAAAAGGAAGAAAACAATATTTGGAGCCAAAGAAATGTTTCTTGATTTAGTTCCTTCCGGGCTGTCTTGCTGCAAGCTTGGAAAGATGTCCATTTTAGGCATTTAGCTGTGATCTCAGTAAGGGGGATTGGTTTGCCACCCTTCTGGGGTCACTGATTTGTATGATTGGAAGTCTCAGTCGTCATGGGAATTGACTCATGTAATAGAACAATTGGGAAAAACAAAGTGGATGGATGTGTGTGGGATTGCTGATAAGCACTCTTAACTAGAGTGAAAGTTCTTGGGGGCTTATGATGGTGTCTTGTATGTGCGCACACACACAAGTGCCTCCATCTATTTGTGAGATGAATTGTTAAAATTCTGAAGGACAATTGTTTTATTTTTTGTGTAGTTTTGGCTTTTCCTGCATATCTGCTGGGGATAAACCAGGACCGGTTGAAAGAAAAGCTAACGAGCCGACAGATGGATAGCAAGTGGGGAGGCAAGTCAGAGTCCATCCATGTGACCCTCAACGTGGAGCAGGCCTGTTATACCAGGGACGCGCTCGCCAAGGCCCTGCACGCCCGGGTCTTTGATTTCTTGGTAGATGTAAGTAAACACAGGTTGACATTGTTTAGCTATAAAGAGTAAAACTACTAAGGGCTTTGTTTTCATGTTTTGGCTCACTCTTTATAACCATTACCTTACTTCTCCACTTTTTATCCTATCACCCTGGGATCATCGAATCCCACTTTTGCTTCTAGAATTGTCCAGCAAGACACTAATATGGTAACAGCTTCTTGTGGACAAAATATTTTGTAAAGCCTGGACTTAGACCAGAAAAAGAGGAGACCTGTGGTCATGAACCTTTCTTGACTTTTGAGCCTAAAGGTTTAGAATGTTGTTGCATTTGTCATCTATTGCCGTTAGCAATTAACCCCAAGCAATAAGCATTTATTCTCTCACAGTGTCTGCGGGTCCGGTATTTGGAGTGACTTAGCTTTGTGGTTCTGACTCAGGGATGAGATTGCAGTCAAGATGCTGATTGGGGGGGGGGGGGGGGGTGGCCCGGTTGCTGAGTGGTTAAGTCCGCGTGCTAGGCTTAGGCGGCCCATGGATTCACCGGTTCAAATCCTGGGTGCGGACATGGCACCCATCAAGCCATGCTGAGGCAGCGTCCCACATACCACAACTAGAAGGACACACAACTAAAAATATACAACTACGTACCGGGATGCTTTGGGGAGAAAAAAGGAAAAATAAAATAAAATCTTAAAAAAAAAAAAAGATGCTGATTGGAGCTACAGTCACCTCAAGGCATGATTAGGGTTGGAGGATCTGGTTCCAAGATGGCGCACTCTGTTGGCTGTTGCCAGGACGCCTCAGTTCCTTGGTACCCAAGCCTCTCCTGACTATCTTGAAGGCTGCTTGAATATCCTCACAACATGGCAGTTGGTTTCCCCCACAATGAGTGATCTAAGAGAGAGAGTAAGGAAGAAGCCACAAAGCTTTTAGTGTCCTAATCCTGGACTCACATATCGTTACTCTACCATTTTCTATTCATTAGAAGCGAGTCACTAAGTACAGCCTACAGTTAAGGGGAGGGGAATTAAGTTCCACTTTATGAAGGGAGGAATATCAAAGACTTTTTGGATATATTTTAAAACTACCATAGACTTTTTTTATGATGGCATAATCATATGTATACTTTATGTATACATATTTATATATGTATACCACATATAGATTCAGAAAATTAGTCTTTCAGCAGCGTAGAACTGCCAGTGGCAGTCTATGTTAATCGCTGGAGCCTCTATGTGATAGAATAATAATAGCAAACACTTATATAGCACTTAACTATGTGCCAGATACTGTTCTAAGTATTTTAGAAAAAAATAATTCACTTAATTCTTACAACTCTGTGACTTAGGTATTATTATCTCTATTTTACAGATAGGCTGTAGAGGCACAGAGAGGTTAAGGAACTTACCCAAGTCACACCACTATTAAGTGAGAAATCTAGGAATTGAACCCAGGTAATTTAGCAGTGTTCCAGCTAGTCTACTCCTCTGTCTTTTATATGTTCAAGCTAGAAAGAACCCTAGAGAGACAACAGTGTGGACACTAGATCGAAAAAGTTTATATTTGAATCCAGGCAACAACATCTATAAGGCTTAAAGTATGGGTAGGTGTGGTTAGGGTTGAGTGAGGCAGAGCAGGATAGGGTAATTATTCTGTGTACTTCTCGTGGTTATTTTAAGGGTAAGATGGCTTAGGAAGGTCAGAGTCATACTAAACATTAGTCATGCCTTTAACTTGTCCAGACCCCTCATTTTACTGACTAAGGAAGCTTAGGTCTGAGTTTTGGTGAATTTTCCCAAGGCCATTCAGCAAGAGGATCTGGCACAACTGGGACTAGAACCCACATCTCTGTCTCTTTGTTCAGCTTACCTTACAGCGCTGGACTTCCCATCTTACTTCCTTTCTATCTTCTCTCAATTTTTTGTGTGGCAAAAGGGGATGGATGCCCTATGTAAGTGATGCTAATTAGAGCCGACAGTTACTGAGCACTGACTTCATACCAGGCCCTGGGTGGAATGCTGTATATCATTACCCATTAGCTCACGAAGATGCTGTGTCATTTTCTTTGCCTAGAAAACACCTCTGGTGCTTCAGAATTCATCCAGGTATCCACCACCTCCAGGACTTTTTCTCCTATTTTCCTCTCTCCCCTGCAGCTCTCACCAACCCCCTCCAACCTACACCTACCCTCCTATCATTGTGTCTGTTCCATTGAATTGCACCTGTCTTCTCACAGTGAGCAAGAACACAGATCCAGGCATCAAACTCCTTAAGTTTAATCCCGGGCCGTGCCTCTTGGTCAGTGCGATCTTAGGGATTATAATGTTATCACTGTCGTCATGAAAATTAAATGAAACGACACACAGAAAGCACTGAACACTGCCTTGCACAGGTGGATGTTAAATACGTGTAAGCTGCTTTTATTATCATGACTTTATAATAATTGCTGGTATTATTATCTGTAGTTGGCTCACTCTCTCTATCAGCTCCTGGGAACAGAGACTATCTTCTCCTTGACAACCCTGTCATATTATGTTAGGTGATCATTCAGTGACTACTGAGTGGGGTGTCAATGGAAATAATATTTACAGATCTTGTAATACTGGTTCTTTATGTGAAATAGGTTTTACTTTGATCATCCAAGATGATCTTTTCTTCTCATTCTAAAGACTTCCTGAGAAAACCTAGCTCTGCCAGAAATGGGTTTTCCTCATTAAGTAAATGCTTTTTTTCTACCTTAGTAGTTTTTTTAGATCCTGGGGGTTTCCCAGAGTACTTGATGTCACACTGAGACTTTTTTTAAGCTGCAATTTACCTATCTTCTTGTCGTCCTCTGTTTCTGGCAGGCAGTAGTATCTGCTGCATACAGTCTTGCTTCCCTTTTTTCCATGCATGGCTGTTTTTATTAGGAACGAAATGAGTTAAGGGGCTGGCCCTGTGGCCAAGTGGTGAAGTTCATGTGCTCCACTTCAGTAGCCCAGCATTTCACCGGTTCGGATCCTGGGCACAGACCTAGCACTGCCCACCAAGCCATGCTGAGGCGGCATCCCACATAGCACAGCTAGAAGGACCCACAACTATGTACTGGGGGGCTTTAAAAGAAGGAAAAATAAAAAATGATAATTAAAAAAAAAAGAAAAGGAGTTAATTACCATGCTGGTTACTTCCTTCTAGTCCATCAACAAAGCGATGGAGAAGGACCACGAAGAATACAACATTGGTGTCCTAGACATCTACGGCTTTGAAATATTCCAGGTAAGACCAGTTTGAATAATTGGGGACTTGTGAGGAGGATGCATTTCATCTGGCTTGAAAGAAGTAATTCTAGGCAATGAGAAAAACACGCTTTGGCTCATTTTTGCCTTTGTGAGTTCTTCATGTACCTTTACCAAATTAGTTTCTCCTAAATATAAACTGTGCCACTTTCTATTGATACCGCCAGCATTTCTGTTAAGCCTTTTCACTACATCACTCCAGAAATGACTTTAAAGTGATTTTGCAGAAACAATTACACGTAACCGTTTTCTTTTTTTCAGAAAAATGGCTTTGAACAGTTTTGTATCAATTTTGTTAATGAAAAACTACAGCAAATATTTATCGAACTAACATTAAAGGCAGAACAGGTGAGTGGTCCCCCTTCCTTTCATCTTGTTCTATTGCTAACTTATTTTGTTGAAAGGGGTATTGATTTCTCTCTTTTCATAATAGATTCAGGTTTTAGTTTTGTATTAGGAAATGTACTTAATTGAGACAGGCAGAAAAACCGTATGCCACTGTGACATTTTGGTTTGTGAAATATAAACACCATCTGCTACATTTTCTTTCTCCTGTAAGTAAATGACGCTGTCAAGTTGGACTTGCGACTGGCTGCTTTTACTACTCTCTGACTCATTGACCAAGTGAAAAATGGCAGCCTAGCTCCAACCCCAGTCGGGTATGGCATATACTGTGTTCCAAAGGAAAAACGTGGTTTTCTCAGATTTGCTCTCCTCCTAATCTTCCCTGAAAACAGATGTGCCTTAACAAAGCTGGCGTTTTAATTCTGACTTAAAGTAACATGTCTTGCTTACACTACCTTCTGAAGGTCCAGTGTAGCTTCACTTTTATTCCAGTGCTGTACTGTTTGTCGATTTCTATGGTTGCTGTAACAAAGCGTCACAAACTGGATAGCTTAGAACATCAGAAATTTCTTCTCACAGTTCAGGAGGCCAGAATCTGAAATCAAAGTGTCACTAGGGCCACACTCCTGAAGGCTCTAGGGCAGAATCCTTCCTTGCCCATTCCAGCTTCTGGTGGCTCCTGACATTCCTTGTCTTGTGGCAGCATCACTGCAGTCTCTGCCTCTGTCTTCACATCGCCTTTTTCTCTCTGTATCCAAATCCCCCTCTCCTTTTTCTTGTAAAGACACCAATCATTGGATTTAGGATCTCTCTAAATCGAGGATGATTTCATTTGCGAGATGTTTAACTAGTTATATCTACAAAGATCCTATTTCTAAACCTCACATTTTGAGGTTCTAGGTGGACGTGACATTTCGGGGGACGCTGTTCAACCCACTACAGATATCAAAGGTTGTTTTGGGGACGTTTCGTCACGGAAGTGTTCTTGCCTCTGCTTAGGAAATAGCAGTGACCAATGGTTTTCACATAAACCTCTGCGCGGGCATTCTAAGGCTTCTACCACCTCAGAGGAGCTGGAGCAAACAACCAAGGGAGAGTGTGGGAGGAACTGAGAAGGGAGGAGGTAGGCAGCAGCTAGGTCACATAGGAACTTTGCAGGGCTTGGCGAAGACCCAATTTTATAGTAAGTATGATGGGAAACCACTGGAAAATTTTTAGCAGAGCGTATCACAACCTGATTTGTGTTTTGTTTTTGAAAAACGTCACTCTGGCTCTGTAGACTTAGAGCATGGGGTGAGGCAGGAGAAGGCAAATGAGAGCGGAAGTTTAAAAGCCAGTTAGGAGCCTTCTGCAGGAGACTGGGGGAGAAATGGGAATGCAGACAGTGATGGGGATACAGCGATAGGTGGTCCGAGTCAGTGTATATTTTAGAAAGTGAGTCAGCATGACTTGCTCGAAATAATTAGCAATAAGCTAAGAAGGAAAAAGGAGTGAACGGTGATTCCTACCTTTGTAGCTTGAATAACAGGGCCAATGGTGAGACTGTTTACTCAAGGGGAAGATTAGAGAGCAGTTGGTTGTAGACGCTGGGGGAATGTAGACTCAGAACTCTGCTGAACATGTTACGTTTGAGGGGCCTATTATACATCCAGGTGGAGATTCCAGTATGTGAAATACCTGTGAGTCTGGAACTCAGTGGGGAGGTCTAGACTAGAGAAATAAATTCAGGTGTCCATACCTGATAGGTGTTATTTAAAGCCATGGGATTCATTGAAATCACCTAGAGAAGGAAGGTTGAAAAAATAGGGAGGCTGGAAGAATGAGCCCTGAGACACTCCATCATATAACCATCTGGAAAGAAGAAAGAGTCAGCAAAGGAAGCTAACAAAACAAGACTGGTGAGGAGCGAGGAGAACCGAGAGAGTGTGGTGGTGTTCACCAAGTTAAATGAGCAACTGGCCTCAGTGAGAAACGTTCCCCTTAAGTGCCCAGATGCTAATCTATATTCATGTCCGATGTTAAATGCAAAGAGATTATTTTGTAATGGACCTATAAGTTAAGCCATATTAAATTGCCATTTTTGTATGTCAAAAACGATTGGATGGTAGCAATTTCCTATGGTTCAAACTAAACATAGAAATTACCCAGCATGTAATGTTCCTTTCCCATCCCTCTTAGAAAAAAGAATTAAAGTTCCAAGTTTTTGTTGAAGAACATTGAGGTTTTTCTTTCCTGGCAATTTATGTACTTTTGATATCCGTCTGTGCAGAGCTCCAGCCAGTCTTTGCTGGGTGATAATGTGAATTCCTGCTTTCTGTCCTGCAGGAAGAATACGTTCAAGAGGGAATCAAGTGGACACCCATTGAGTACTTTAATAACAAAATCGTGTGTGACCTCATAGAGAACAAAGTGGTGAGTATCAGTGTGGCATCTCTTCACTGCTCACAGGTTATGTTAAGTGAGTTTTTGTTCTCTGTCATTGTTTTAGAATAGGTGAGATGACTACTCTGATTTGCAAAGGATTTTAGGAATTAACGTTAATTTTGTGTCTATGTGTATGTGTGAAAATAGGGCAGTAGGGTTTTCTTCTTGCAGTAAATATGGACCTACATATATGAGGAAAATGTCAATTTACAAGTGGAAGTGTTACTGAATTCTAAGAGAAGATAACTGTCACCTTGATGGCATAGTGTTTGGAGAGACAAAATTGGCCCTGCCTTCTGGACCATTTATACAACTTCTAGGACTGTAGCCTTAGAAATTGTTTAAAAGGAAATAAAAGGGATGAAGGCAGAGATCTTCACAGTACTGTTTTGTTTTATTTTTTTACAAAAGTCCCAAAGTGGAAATAGTCAAAACACCTATAGACAATTCAGTCATTAAATAAACTATAGCATATCAGATCAGGGAAATATAGCTATTAAATAATGATTATGAAGATTATGTAAGAAGTGAGGATTGTTTATAAAAGAGTGCTATGCAAAAAAATGTAATACTGATAGAATGTGTCCACTGTGCAGCTGAAGGAACCATGCCTGTAGAGGTGACAGGCTGAAAGCGAACATTAAGAAATGAATTAGAGGCAGAGGCAAACGTTTTTGTTTTTCTTTTGGGTTTTTAAAATCAACTTAGTACGAATAGGAGTGAGCAGATAATGATCTGTGTATGACTTTGAATAGAACTTCAGGGAGTTAAACAATTTTTTTTGGAAAGTGAACTTTCCTCCATCGTTGGCTCTAAGTGGTAACTCCCATTTGGGATTATTAATTGCATTCTTGCTCAAAGGGAAAGACTGACTTTCAAGATGCTATCTTAAGTCTAGGGAGCTGTTTCCTTGCTTAAGAAAAGACCCGATAAGCATTGTGTATTTTAGAACAGTCACTGAATCGGGGCTTTGCCTTCTTGGTCCCATCAGAACCCTCCTGGGATCATGAGCATCCTGGATGACGTGTGTGCCACCATGCACGCGGTGGGTGAGGGGGCGGATCAGACGCTGCTCCAGAAGCTTCAGATGCAGATCGGGAATCATGAGCACTTCAACAGCTGGAACCAAGGCTTCATTATTCACCATTACGCTGGGAAGGTATGGCCAAGAGCAGGGGTCCAACAGGAAAAGAGAAGTGATCCTTGAATCAAGTCTACCTGTTTTAAGCCTTCAGCTCTGTAATCTGTTTTCTCATGAGGCAGCTGATAACAACATCCATATGCTTTCATCTCCCTCACTGTATTTTATTCATTCAACATTCATTCAACAACATGGGATGTATGAAATATTTGGAGAGGCAAAACAAAAGATACTATACACTACTGCATATTTTTCTCAGCAGGAATCACCCTTTATATAATATAAACATGAATCATGAATATAAGCATGAATAAGCATATATTAACTGCCAAAGGAATGGATTTTTGTCTTGCCTCTGGCTGTAATCACAAGCCTACGTTCCTTAACTGCCCATGCCCACTGAGAGTATAAATAAGATCTGAGGGCTCACTTTTGGTGTTTGTTCTCATAAAATGCATGAGTACTGGGTGCCTACGAGGTACGAGGCTTTGTGTGGGTACTGATGATACAAAGACAAATAAGTTAAAGTCATGATATTTGGGGACTTCCCAGTCCTGTGGAAATCCACTGGTCTCATCTTTCATCTCAACTAATCTCATGTTAACAAGGGTCCCTGAGAGTGAGTTATTGGCCAGATTGATCCAGCTCTGACACCATTTGTAGGAGAAATTGCAAAGCCTCAGATGACAGTCCATTGCAATGGACCGTGGAGCAGAAGTTTTATTTTATTCCGTCTTAGCTAAAAATTAGGGAAAGAATTAAGTATATTATTTAGACATTCCTATGGATCCATTGAAGATGAGATATGTGATCCTGAGGGCTGGAGTCCTGGTCATAGATCATCTGGGCTGTGTAAGCAACTAGATACCATTCACCAGTATCCACAGGCCATCAACAACTAAATCAGTTAACAAGGTCAGTGAAACATGCACAGCCTTAATGTGACAGTGCTTGATGAAATCCCAAATGCTACATCTGGAAATATACACATTGTGGTGAGGCTAGCCATGCCAACTTGGATTTTTTGTTCAGTGAAATACTTAAAGGATAAAATTAGGTTTCTTTTGATTCTTGGCCAGGTATCTTACGACATGGATGGCTTTTGTGAAAGGAACCGTGATGTGCTTTTTATGGATCTGATCGAGCTGATGCAGAGCAGTGAGCTGTAAGTGTGTTTGCCTTATCTGACATGGGATATTGGTTTGATCAGATTTTCAATATTAAAAAAAACTTGTGGCATTTGAGTGGTCAGCATTTTGTTCCTTTGAGCTTTCAGGTCCGGGTTATCATTGGACAATTTGGTTTCTCAAAATAGCTTTTGTTTTCCCAATCTCAGTCTCTCCCATGCACCCCTAATACCTCCTGACCCCAAATTCCAAGTGCTATCTGCATGCTCTTCAGGGACCCATCTAAGAGTGGGGCAGTCTACTTCTATGATGCTTTGCCCTTGGAACATTATTATCCCAATAATTCTCCATGGTCACTCAGTTTTTAAAAAGACTGATGGCTTAGCAAGACTCAAGTTAACCTGAGTCCCTGAAGCACGTGGGAAATGGTTCAAGAACTCTGGGAGGGGCACCTAGAAAGGGATTGCCTCAGAGATCCATTTTAACTCCCAAGACCCTGTCTGAACTATTGGGGTAGAAGCAGGAGGGCCTCCCCCTTGCGGGCACTGGAGCTCTCAGGACCAGCTCTGCTACGTCCTTTCCTTCCCTCTCCCCTGCAAACAGGCCCGAGATCCTGGGTAAGGGATGTGACATGTAATTTACATGATCAGGCCTCTACATGCCAGACAAGTATAATATTGCATAGTTGTCCAGATTTTACAATTTTTCAAGCTGCCTCCAAGTAATAGCTGCCGTTTTAGTCTCTGTTACTTAAACTGTCATAATATCAAAGTTAACTTCGCTAATCAACAGCTGCAAGCCTGATCATTTTCTGAGTAAGGCCTAAATGCAAGGAAAGCAAAACTGAGTTTCCTTTTCAGGCCGTGGCAGAAGCTGTTGTGCTCCATTTAACCCCCTTCCCCCTCCCTTCCAGCCCTTTTCCCCCTCCCCCCCCCGGCCCTCATCTCCCCATGCCTGCACTTCCTTGTACTCACACCGCCTATTTTTTTTTTTTTTAAAGATTTTATTTTTTCCTTTTTCTCCCCAAAGCCCCCCAGTACACAGTTGTATATTCTTCGTTGTGGGTCCTTCTAGTTGTGGCATGTGGGACGCTGCCTCAGCGTGGTCTGATGAGTAGTGCCATGTCCGCACCCAGGATTCGAACCAACGAAACACTGGGCTGCCTGGAGCAGAGCGCGCGAACTTAACCACTCAGCCATGGGGCCAGCCCCTCACACCACCAATTTTTGAGATTCTGGATTTCTTTTCATTCCAAACACATAAAATCTATTTGTTCTTCTCTTAAAAGGGCAGGTAAGCCACAAGTCCTGGCTTGTGGGTTTTATGACAGTCAGGCGCAGACATGCTTTCAGAAACTTTTCAAAAACTTATTAAATTTACTGCCAAGTTCGAGAGCTATTGATGCTTCCATGTAAATTCCTATCCTGTAGACATGGTCGGTTGTTTATTCTACACATTTGCTACAAAAATCTATAACTGTGCCTGGTCAAGTTAAAAGTAGATTACTGGAGAGACTTCCTGGAAAATTCAAGATGCTCAGAAAGCCATTTAGGAGGAAATGAATTTGAGTGTCAGCTTGCTAATTGACGTGGATCTCTTTAGTCAAACAGTCAGCATATGTTTATTGAGCACCTATTGTGTACCAGGCTATGTTCCAGACACCAGAGGCACCGAGGTGACTAAGACATTGTCCCTGCCCTGTGTCCTGGTGAGGCAGGCTTGTGAACAAATGCAGCTCAATTAGAACTACGATGCAAAATATATTCAGCAAAGCATTTGTGAGTTACTACTGCTCCACTTAAAATTACTCACACTCAGAAGCACAATTTGTTGAAGGTTTTTGCAGTGGTGGCAGAGCGGGGACAGTGCTAGTGGCTTCTAGTGGGCAAAGGCCACTGGTGCTAGGAAATATCTTACAATGTGTAGGACAGCCTCCCTTGCCCCCAGCAAAGAGTTATCCAACCCTAAATCCCAAATATCAGTAGCGCCAAGGTTGAGAAACACTGCTTTAGAGCAAAATAATTCATACGAGTCCCTGAGCTCTGGGCTATCTTACTTAACCCAGCAAGCCCATACTGACCCCTCCACCCTGTGATATCCTATGGGGGAAGTTCTAAAGACAGAATTTTAAAATTTATTTTTCATGCTTAGACTCTGAGATGCTTATATCTTAAAATTCTTTCTCTATGTTTCTGTTGTCTGTTGTTTATTTCCCCAGGACACATCTTGATGGCTTGTGCTTGGAGTCAGGTGGCTTTCTGTAGTCCAGGTTGTGTGTGTCTGGTCACCCCTCCTCTCCATTGTCTACGGAAGCAGGCTTTCCGCCTCCAGCCTACTTACTGATTGCTAATCCATTCCCTTTCTCCTTTTCCAGACCTTTTATAAAGTCTTTATTTCCGGAGAATTTGCAAGCTGACAAGAAAGGGCGCCCAACTACTGCCGGAAGCAAAATAAAGGTTTGTTCTATTTTGGGAAGTTTATAGATTCCTCTAAGAGGCAGGGTTTTCTAGGAGTCAGAAAGTGCACCCCTGGGCCAGGATGGGGTCAGTGAGATGTAGCGGATAGGTTATAGAAGATGCCCAGAAGTAATGTCGCTCCTTGAAATAAGGGTACAGGATGCGAGCTGAATCTGACTTGGCTGTACTGAAACCCCAAATGGATATTAGGTACCTCACCCCTTAACAGCCAGCAGGTGATAATCAGTTACTTTCTAAGAGGAAATGGCTTCAAACTGAATCGGGAAGAATTTGCATTAAACTATCAGAGAACTTTTATGATTGAGAGTCACATTTTGGATTTTGATGACCATTTTCCAGCCCAAACCCTTGAACTTGCCAATTAATGGGACTTGGTGTACCTGAAATTCTGCTGGGTCTTGTAGTAGCAATTTATGCACCGTCCTTACTGGATCTTGCAGGCCCCTCCTTTCTGTGAATTACAGGCACATCTGACCCCGTGGTGTCTCAGAAGGAATTCTTATAATGTTTCTTGGGAGCCCCTCGTGGGTAGTGCCCTATGTTGTCTGATCCACTGCATGACAAAATTCATTGTCCCTAATTATGCTCTGAATTGAGAGGTTGTGTCAAACATACTTAATTGTGTAACTCTGTGAGAAATAGTCACTAAACTATTTTTTAAGAATGTACCAGTTAAAAGATGTTTTAAAGAAATCATATGAGTTAAATTCCACCCCAATTTGATAATCAGTGGGATCATCAAGTGATTAACAGTAGGGTTCTGGGATTCTATGGCCCATGTTCAAATCCCAGCTCTGGGTTTTACCAGCTGTGTGACTGCCAGCAAGCTCCCCAAACTCTCAGTGCCTCTTTTGCTTTCCGTGTAAGATGGAGATCTTAGGCCCTATCTCAAGGGGGTGCTATGATGATTAAATTCAATAATCCGTCTAAGGCATTTAGCACACTACCTGAAACGCAATAAACCCAGAATGTATATGATCTCCTACTACGTTCTGCTCCTTCAGCCCCCTCCCTGTACACCTGTATTCCTCTCTGCTTGATCTTTAGTGGACACATGTCTGCATATGCTGGCCCCCCACCAAGACTGTCCATTCCCCCTCACTGGCTCTGTGTGGCCGAATCCTACTTGTCCTTCTCACAGTGCTCTCCTGGGTAACCCCAGCCTCACGGACACACAGTTGTTTCTGTCTGTTCTATCTGCTGGCTCTTTCTTCTTGGAGTGTGTCACATATGGAAGCCTGCCTCCTCAGCCCCTAGGGCAGGAACACTGCTGGAATAAAGGAAATGATCATTGAAACCTCACAGCAGTGAGAAGATTCCAGTCAAGAGGAGCCTTCGCGTTTCGTGGAGGAAGTCAGATGCAAGCTGGACCTGGAGCTGGAGGGTAGTCCTCTGGGATTGGGGACAATCATGTCAGAGAACTAGAGAAATTTAGCAGTCCTGGGGCAGCCTCTGGATGGAGTTCGCTGGAGCAGAGCTGAGGACAGGGGGCAGAAGCAGTTCTCGTGAGGCCCCACATGTTAACGTCTGTGCGAAGCTTCTGACTCATGCCTTCACTTCAAGGTCCTGGATAAGGATTAGCTCTGGGCTGGAAAATCTAGTCACAAGACTGTCACATTCAGATCTAAGGGGCCCAGATCATCAAGGTTGCAGTGACTCACTTTCAAGTGGTCTAGATTCTCACTGGAGCTTATTCCCTATGAAAAGGAGGGCAAGGGAAGGGCATTTTTCTTCTTGGAAGACTGGACCCCTTTGTCTTCTTTGCATTGTTGTCTAGTTGAATACTCAAAATTGCCATCTTCTGGGTATGCTCAGAATGCTCAGGATGGCAAGGATTGCTGTCCTTGCTATAGGGCGATCAACCTGAAGTAAGCCAGCTTATCTACGGGGGACCATTACTGTGCCTATTCTCACCCCCCAACGGTACCCTCCTTGGTGGACTGTGTGACCTTGTCTGTCTGATGCTGTGCCTCCACACAGGAGTGAAATTCTCCCTGTGTTATATATTCCCTCTAAGACACCTCTTAGAGATGCATGGCCATGGCCCAATCTCTTATACCTTCCGTATCCACCGGATTTTGCAGATATTAAGTATCATCTTAACAATATTCTTGAGATGTAAATGTTTAAAGAGATCCTGAGTTCCTTGGAAGAAAAATTAAATTTATGTTCGAGGTAGTTTTAGGGTTGGGTATTTTATTGTGTTTTAATTCTTTAAAATTTAAAACTGATCTATAGGATTTAATCAACAGGATATTTATTTCATGAGAAGTCCCGTTATCTTGTTTATAAATAAAAGTATCCTTTCTATATTTAACAACACTTGATTTTGAGGCTTCACTAAATTCTACATTGTTGTGGTAAGAAGAAAGGGACCAGTTTTGGGTTTTTTGTGTGTGTGTGTGAGGAAGATTAGCCCTGAGCTAACTACTGCCAATCCTCCTCATTTTGCTGAGGAAGACTGGCCCTGAGCTAACATCCATGCCCATCTTCCTCTACTTTATACGTGAGATACCTACCACAGCATGGCTGTTTCCAAGCGGTGCCATGTCTGCACCCGGGATCCCAACTGGTGAACCCCAGGACGCTGAGACACAGAATGTGTGAACTTAACTGCTGCACCACCGGGCCGGCCCCCAGGGACCAGTTTTGAAGTTACAGCCAAAGATTGGTGCTATAGGGAAATGGAATCAAGCTCAGAGCTGGCAGAGTGGACTGGACTGCAGCTTTATCTAAGAGCCTGGACCTCTAGAGGAGGGGATATGACAGGAGATGCGAGCACCATGTGGAGATTGGACTGGTTGACATTTAACAACTGTTCCAACCTTTAGATTAAGATAGTTGAGGGCCTCTAGTTCATCTTACTTAGTTTACAGATGGGTAAACTGAGGCCCAGAGAAATTTAGTGATTTGTCATGTAGATTGCAAATAGCAGAGCCGGACCCCAACTCAGGCTTGCTAAGAATCTGTGTTGAGGGTAGAAGGAAGAGCTCTCACCCTAAGCCTTTTCTTACTGTCCTGTCTGTCTGCATATTTTGACCCCCACCCCTGTTGGGCAAGTACTTTTGGTAGCTTTCTGTCCTAACTCATGGACTCTTTTTGTCTGGAGTCAGGATAAATCCAGGTGCTGCTTCCCAACCACCTCAGGGGGCATCTAAAGTTGACTCATAGCGAAATTTAGGATAATTTTGATGGTTAAGATGCATTCCTGTTTGCTGAAGTTAGTTAGCTCACAACCTAAAGGCTTCTGTCTAAACCTAGCTCATCCAGTTAATTCTCTTTGCCTCACACTAAATTATCCCATCTCTTCCTTAGGAAGGCAAGATAGCATTGAGGTTAAGAAACAGACTTGGTTGCTCATGGACTTGGGTTCAAGCCTCACCTCTGTTGCTTACTGCTTGTGTCATCTTGAGCAATACTTTTATTTCTTTAAGGACCTGTTTTCTTGTCTAAGAAAGGTGAATAATACTAACAGTAGCTACTCGTAGAATTGTGAGGCATAAATGAGAAAATCCATGTGTCTAGCCCGTGGTGCATGTTCAGTAAATGGTAGCCATTGCTGTTTTGAGCTACACAGAGCTATGTCTTACCCTGTGTTTACTGACCCCTGTGTTTTCTTCTGCTAAGGTCAAAAGAAGGTGTGGTGTTAAATACTTAGGACTAAAGAGACTGCCAGGTTATTCTTGGGAATTAAAAGCTTTTAATAAAATGAAAAAATAAAAATTAAAGAGTTTGGGGACTTAAAAAAAGCTTCGTTATAAGCAGCCCTTCCCCAGCTTCACCTTATGTGTTGTAAAGATCATCAGATTTGTTCTCAAGTACAATCTCCATCAACAAAAAAGATAAGCATCGATTTACTGTCTCCTCATAGGTTTTGCTTTGGTCCTACAGCCTCTGCTACTTGACCCTCGATTCCAAGCATTGCAAAGAATGGTATATTCTGCACATCTCAACAGCGGACTTAGTTCACCAGTGAACATCTTGCTTTGAATATACCCAAGAGTTTTTCTCAAGGGTTTCAGATTTCCCAAACCCACGAAAACAGAAAAGCCCTAATTGAGAGAGGGCTATCTACCGCAGGCAGCTCCCTTCTGCGGACTTTGTAAGGGTTTTCTGGCTTTGCAGATCCTTTTTTCTATTTTCCTTTAGAGGTTTTCTCTCTTCGTGATTTGCTTGGAAGGAGAGTTTGCCTCTGTGCCCCATCCTTGGACCCACAGGATGCTCAGCAGCATGGTGGTGGGAATGCTGATGTGGCTTCTGCTCCCGTTTCTTCAAACAACATTTGAGATACTCATGATTTAAAATACATCATAAGCAATTTCGACTTTATTTATATGGCCTTTTCTGCTTGAACCCAGTTCCACTTTGGGTATCCAATGCACAGGTTGAGAGATGATATTATATTGACTATTTGAAGGAGTACGTTACCTGCCACACTGAAAGGGCTCGGAGTCTGCAGGTTTGTAAGTGGACCTGCTGAGGAAGAAGGGGAATGAAATGGCATAGAAAAGGTTTACAAATTCTGAGATTTTTATGGATCTCCCACCCTTTAGGAATTTCCATCATTTTGATAAGAATATTCTTCACTGTTGGATTACCAGGAAGGAGGATGCAGGGAATTTTGATGACTCATCCTTGCAAATTATTTGTGACCCCCCCCAAAAGTTTATGAGAACAATGTATTTGCAAAGACCCTAAATCAATATGAAATTAACTTAATTTGTTAACAGCTGGCATGCTTCCTTGTTCCTCATGAAATGAATTGTATGTGAAGATTTCCTGGGTTTTGGGGGGTTTCGTTTTATTTTATCATATAAAAAAGTCCTAGTTGTTTTCAAAAATATAATTTCAAATCCATTTATGAGGGTTAAAATCATCATAAAAGTCAGTAGAGCTTTAAGAAAGAGTAACAGACCCGATTAAGCCTAACGAACAAATTGTCCTGAAGATGAATTTCTAGTTCTGCCTTCCCACACTGGAGTTTCACAGGTCTCTTTTTGACAGTTGGTCTGCTGTAGAGAAAGTCCCCTGTTTCTAACTCATGTTATTCTTCCTTTCCAGAAACAAGCCAATGACCTTGTGAACACTCTGATGAAGTGTACACCTCACTACATTCGTTGCATAAAACCAAATGAAACCAAGAAGCCCAAAGACTGGGAGGAAAGCAGGTATGTGAAGACGGCAGTGGGGGAGGTCAAAGCCAGCTGAGGTGGGGCCCCAGCACATTTTTCCCTCTGCTCAACATGGGCCATCCTGCGTCCAAGGCAGAGTCAAGTTAAATTGCCTTCAGATGTGTCTCAAGTCCTTGTGTCTTAACTTTTTCAGGATGTAGCCTATATATATATTTTTCCCTCCTTGTCTTTGCCTAAACTGCTAGCCGTGCCATTCAGTTCAGAATTAGCAATTTATAATGTTGGTCTTGGCTAGTCTGGGAGCAAATGGAAAAAAGAAAAACCTTAATACCGCCGAGTCAGGATGGTTTTAAAATTAGTTTGAGGCTCTGAGTAGACATTCTGAGTACACTCAGCTCCTCATTGGCACCCACAGGATGTGGCCTAGAATGCTTAGCTCGGGGTTGAAAGCGAAGGCCTGAAGCACTGGTTAAAAAGCAATCTGTCCTTCACTGTTGCTCGTGAGGATACTGTCGGCATACTGTCGATTCTGTGATTCCCCCCGAGGACTGTGTTGATGAGCAGAATGACTGTCTCTGGGAAGGAATAAGCCAAAGGGAGACATGGTGGCACATAAGCATGCACAGAGCCCTCTCTGCCCCGGCTTCTGAGGAATGCTGTGTCGCTCTTCCTCCTACAACTGGCATTTAGGGATGTGGCCTATGCAGGATGGAATGGAGGTGTTAAAACAGAAAACGTTAAGATAATGACTAGAGAATATAGTTTTTATATCCAGCTGAGGGATCCAAACACACATTCCTGAGGCGTCACCCCACTGTCCATAGGAACATGGGAAGCAGGGCTTGGGAGGGACCTTGTGAGTGGCTTGGACTATAGAGAAGAGCCCTGCCATTGTCACCAGATAATCAAGTCTCTGGGTGCAAGCATACCAAAATGACTATCTTTTTTCTTTTCTCTCTTGGAGAAAAATAGACTCTTTTAGGTATCAAGTGACTTAATCAAGGTTAAACTCCAACAAGAAGACCAGGGTCTTAGCTGCTAATTACCTCCTCTGAGAGACATGTCTAGGTCCATTTCCCATCCTATCAGCAAGATCCTTTCTAACCCATGGCAGACAGATGAACTTGATCTTTTACAGGAAGGAAAAGATAAATAGTGAAGAAAATACCCAAGTTCGGACATTCACTGTTGCAAGTCCTTCTTTGTATTTTCACACATCGTGGTGCAGCCCAAGTCTGTTTTCCCACCTTAAGATGCTACTGGGGTGTAGCAGCCTTCCATTTAGTCAATTCACGATATTCTGAACAATGTCATCAATAGATGAGTGTTACTAAAGCATCCTTTCTATTGAATTGCGGAAATTTTTCCATTTAAGGTAATCTAAGGTTCCTCTTACAATATCATCCAGGAATGACATTCGGGCTCTGATGAGGAACTCACTCCTCCTGGGTCATCAGTCCACCTTTGGGTGACTCTTGCTTTTGGGAGGCTCTATAGTCCTTCTCTAAATCAGTTTTACCCTAATCCTACCTCTCTAATCTGCTGCAAGAATAGTTCTCCTGACTTTTCCATTTGGCAGCTCTTCTGTCAGTTCAAGGCAGTCATCGTGTTTCCCTGGAATCTTCTCTTCCACCAGCTCATCACTCTCAGTTCCTTCAGCAGTTCCTCTGAGGGAACTGGACCTGGAATCCGACCGTTCCCCTCCTTGGTCATTCCCCTGGATGGACTTAATTTGCCCTCTGCTTTTCTGAAATGTGTCACTCAGTTTCTCCTTTGAGGCCTAGAGGGGAGCAGTATTATCACCTCTTCCCACCTGAAGATAGAAAATGTCAGTTTCTTGCCTTCCTACACTAGTTCTCAAGCTTGAGCATGCATCAGAATATCCCCTGGAGGGCTTATTAATCCTCAAGATTCCTGAGCCCCACTCCCAGAGTTTCTGACTCACTGGGTCTGGCGTGGGGCCCAAGAATGTGCATTTTTAAGAAGCTCCCAGATGATGCTAGTGATGATGGTTTGAGCCTCATACTGAGAACAGCTGATCTAGAGCATGGGGCTGGACTGTGGTTTGGAAAAATGGAATCCTGGTGTTGGCCTGTCACTATCTAGTTTGAGTGAGACACTTCATCTCCTCAGTCCTCAGTGACTTCCTCTCTAAACTGAGAGGGTCAATCCAGAATGGGATCTCCTTTCGTCGGACAGAAGAAACTCTCCCAGGTCTGTTCCCCCATGTCTGTCAGCCTTCCTCTGCCTGTCTCTGTATCACTACTACACTCACCCCCTCACACGTTCACACACATGCATATCACACTCAGCTCTCATGCACACACACACACACACGCGCGCGCGCGTGGAAGGATGGTGTCGTAGGCAACTTCAGAGAAAAATCACAAGAGTCTTGGTAGCAGAGGTGTTGCTAAGGGGTGCCTTAGCCCACCATTCCCCTACTTCAGACTCCACCTAGCTTCCTTTCCCCAGCCTTCCCAACAAACGTGATCTTAAATGAAAACGTCTCGCTCACCCTGCAGATGCACTACCTCCCCAGCACTCTCCCCTACCCCACATAGATTGCTCTGCTCAAAGTTTCTCTAAATAGAGAGATTTTGCAATAGCTACAGACTGGAAGTTCCCCGACCCTGACGCTACCTTCTCATAACATCTAAACTGATTCATTGGAATATCAGAAAATGGAGAAATTAAGACAGTGGTACATTTCTTCAGTAAAACTTCATAGAATTTCCCCATGGTGTTTTCCTCTTTTTTTAAAAAAAATCATATCCCTTATTTGAATTGCAGGAAGGAATTTCATAACATATATTCATGTAAACTGCTTTTAAGAAGTCTAAGGTACTCGTTGGTCAAGTGTTGGCTTCCATTTCCAGCAGGATCGCTTCCCGGGACTCTCCCCAACCCTCCTATTCCCGGTTCGGTTTATCGTGTGACAGATGGTTTCACTTCATCCGTGAGCGTGGAGCGTCGGAGTCTGTGAAAGGGCGGTGCGCTTTATTGGCGGGGATTACACGGTCAATTGAAGTCCTTGGTGGACAGGGTTACTCATTCCACAAGTTTATAGGGTGTGGTTTATTTTTCCTTTCCTGTTGGAAATGTGTTTTTGTTTGGCTGTGGCAAAGTTGTCTGCCCCGGATTCTGAATTGCTGCCCTAGCCGAGCTCTCAGCCCTTGACCTACTTGCATTAATGGCCAAGGACAGTGGTGAACAGGACTCCCTGCAAGGAGAGGAGATGGCACAACTGATTGCCAGTCTGGCTGATGTTTACTGAGGAAATGACAGTGCTCCAAGGATATGGAGAAATCACCTTGGATCCTTTGATTACATGAAACTTTAAACATGACAGAATTTGCTAAACTAGTTGTCCTGTTGAAGAAAATTCCTATGAGAAAATTTCCTGATGATGGAAGTCATATTGAATGAACAATGTTTTAACATGAGGCATCGCATTTGCCTATGTGATTCATGGAAAAGGAACGTTTCCACTTGATTTAATGGGTGATGTGTGCCCTGCCTCAAAAGTTTGAGGTGAAGCCAATATTTAATGAAAAGTACTAAAATGAGCAGATATCTAAAACTGGGAACCTCGTGGGTACTTTTTACAGTAGAGAAAAGGCCAGTGGTGAGTTTCAGATTTGGAGGATGAGAGAAAGGAAAATTTTGGTCATGCGTCACTTCATGACGGGGATACGTTCTGAGAAATGTATCATTAGGCAATTTCATCATTGTGTAAACATCACAGAGTGTACTTACACAAACCTAGATGGTATAGCCTACGACACACCTAGGCTATATGGCACAAATCTGGTGGGACTACTGTTGTATATGTGGTCTGTTGTTGACTCAAATGTCATTTTGCAGCATGTGACTAATTATTTTCTTGAATCAGATTTCTGCCCCTTTAGTTAACCAGATTATGTGTCAAAAATCAGATGTGGATGTTGAATATTGGTTCTTTATCTAAAGGCTTTTTAAAAAGTTACTTATCTCGAAGGGGTTGACATTTCTGGAGGCTAGTTCAAGTAAGACCAGCTGGACTTGAGACGTTTCAAACATCACTCACTGTGTGACCTCGTCCTTCCCAGGGCAATCAAGGTTCTACCCTGTCTTTCAGCTTAATTTCCCACCTTGTCCTGTGCCCCTGCCTTTCTCTCTTTTGCACCTGGTGAATTCAACTTCGCCTTCCAGGCCCAGCACGTCACCACTTCTGGGAATCCTCTCTCTATAAAAAATCCATTTCCTTCTCTAGTCTCCTTGTCCTGATTTACTTATTGTAGCTGTGAATATGGTAGAATAATAACAGCCTTACATTGGCTCATGCCAGTAGCTGGCTAAGTCCTTTATATGGAATGTACTCAACTAGGACAAAAGAACTAATGTCACCATCCCCATTTTACGAAGTGGAAACTGAGGCTCAGAGAGGTTACATAGTGGCAGAGCCAGGGGTGTCCTAGGAACCTAACTCCAGATCCTGGCTCTTGACCACCATACTGTCTGTGAGGTCTTCATCAGGAACCCTAGCACTGGCCTTTTTTGGTATCCCTAGCACCTTGCGTAGCGTGACTCATAGTGGCACAGAGTGGATGTCAGCAAATGCGGGGCTTCGTTGGAAATGATGGGTTCCATGAGAGCCTTTCTGAGGAGACAACTGTCAGGAATCTGTGAGCAGCTGTAAGGAGGGTGCTGCTGGTTGCTTTTCAGCACAGCAGACTCGTGAGGGGCCGTTCTCTAGAATCCATCATTAGTGCAGTTGACCCTAAATGCACTGAAGGGGGAGCTGCCTCCCTGCCCCAGCACAATCGTGACGTCCCATCTTCAAAAGAGAGAGAAAGTCTCCTTATTTCTCATTTTCCTCAAATATCCTCTTTCCAAATGTCTGTATTCAACCAACTGGCATAATAGGCAGCAAAGGCCCTATTTATGTCCCTGGAGTGGACGATCAGAAACTAGCGTCCAGGATCTGTCACTTGGCTTCTAGGACCGTGAGCTTCTCAGCAAGGGGTGACTTTTCGCAATTCACATGTCTGTGCACCAGCCCAGATGCAACAGGCCTACCAAACCAGAGTCTCCAAGGGGTGGGCCGTGGGCCATGGGGCACTTTCTTTCTGAAAATCCGCTGTGTTGTGAGACCGTCGGTCTACTACTACCCTGCATCCATTTTCCAAAACACACCGGTAGTTTTTTACTATTATAAAAACCAACTAAAACTATAATTTACATATATTTTTTAGAACATTTTTAACTTAGGTGTTTGAAATTAATAGTTTTATATACCTTTTTTTACCTTGTATGTGAAAAGCCTAGAAGTATACTCTCCTTAGATCTAGAATCACGATTAAACTTAAAGTTGATGTTGAGAACAGCTCTAGTGTCATTTAATTCAAAAGTTAAAGAGTTCTTTCCTTTAGTCTTTTGAAAAACTGGTATTTTTGTTCATAATCTGGGTGATAGGTAGTAAATAGCTTTTTATTTTACTATTTTTTAAGATAAACATGTCAGGTCTCTTCTGTAATTGCTGTATTTCACAATAAAATATTTTTTAAATTATTATTATGTAACCTGAGGGTCAGCTCAGACTCTGAACACTATAAATTGTAGTGTTTTCAGTGTGCTTCCCTGCAGCTTGCACTGGGGGTTTAGGGGGATGGGAGTAGGAGAAAGGATCACAGAATTATCAGCTAATGTCCTTGCTCCATTTTCTCCTTCGTAGGGTAAAGCACCAAGTCGAATACCTGGGTCTGAAAGAAAACATTCGAGTGAGAAGAGCTGGTTACGCCTATCGGCGCATCTTCCAAAAGTTCCTCCAGAGGTAACGAACCGGTGACTGTGGACGCTTTTGTTTGAGACAGGTTTAGTGAACCAGATATAATTTACATACCGTACAATTCACCCATTTAAAGTATGCAATTCGTTGGCTTTTAATATATTCATAGAGTTGTGCGTCCATCGCCACAACTAATTTTAGAATGTTTTCATCACTCCAATAAGAAATCCCACTTCCCTAGTTGTCACCCCCACTTCGCCTCTTGCCCCCTGAGCTAGGCAAATACTTCTTTCTGTCTCTATAGATTTGCCTATTCCAGGGATTGCTATAGATAGAAACGTGGAATATGTGTCCTTTGTGTCTGGCTTCTTTCACTTAGCATAATGTTTTCAAGAGTCATCATTGTTGTAACATATACACTGATTCCTGCTCTTTGCCAAATAGTACTCCATTGCACCAATACTCCAATGTATCATATTTTCTTGTTCATTCAAGTGATAGACATTAGCTGTTTCCACTTTTTGACTGTTATGAATAATGAAAAATGCTGTTATCAACATTCACATATATGTTTTTGTGTGGACATGTGTTTTCATTTCTCTTGGGTATGTACGTAAAATTGGAATTGCTGGGTCATATGGTAACTCTATGTTTAACCCTTTTGATGAACTGATAGTTTTCCAAACTGACTATACCATTTACATCCCCACCAGTGGTGTGTAAGGGTTCTGGTTTATCTGCGTTCTTGTCAACATTTGTTATTATCTAACTTTTTGATTCTAGCCATCCTAGTGAGTATGAAGTGGTATCTCATGGTGGTTTTGATTTGCATTTCTCTGATGGGAAATAATATTGAGCACATTTCCATGTGCTTCTTGGCCATTAGAGAAATACCTGTTCAGGTCCTTTGCCCACTTTTTAATTGGGTTGTCCTTTTATTATTAAGTTGTAGCAGGATCTTTTTACCGTCATTTATTGTACAATAAATTAGTAGCCACAAGTATTTGGTCTGTTTAGTGTAACATGTAAGTTCAGAAATTTGTGATACTTGTGACACGGGAAGGGCTGGGTTTAACTTGACTGAGCAAATTAATAGTATGAAGACAATTTAGGAAAATATTTAACCTACTTAAGAAAACAAGCATAAAGTATTTAACTTTAAAATTTTGTACAGTCCATATATAAATTTTAACTGATTTTTTATATTTCCATTAAAGTGTATTTGGCAGGACCTGTAGTTAAATTGTTCTTATTTTGTGTTGTTTTTGAAAAGGATAAAACTTAGTGTCCTTAAGATGTTACATGGTTCTGACTTCTCTAATGATTCTTTTCTACATCGATTTAATTTCATTTAAGAAAGAAGGAAGTCATATTCAGCATTTTAATCGTAAAGTGCTTATGTCTTCCTGGTATATGATACAGAAACAGGATGTAAGATTTTTTTTTTAATCTCAGTTTTATCTAACAAAGAGATAGCAGGCTAAAAAAGAGCTTAAGTACTGTCTTTGAAATCCAGGACTTCTGATAAAGTAGTTTTTCCTTCAGGGCTGTTGTTATTTCTCGTGCCAGGAGACTGGGGTGGCTGACCTACTGGTCATCAATGTGGGTCGTCATATGTGGAAGGTCATTCACGTGGAAGTTCAGGAGTGCTTAACAAAAGGGTGGATCATTCCATACTATAAAACCTCATTGACTCTGTCCCCACACATTCCAGATTCCTGCTAATTTGGGAGGAAGGTTAGACTAGGAATAAAATTCACCCTAATGGCTCTCTGCATTAAAGGGGCCACTACACCTTTAGTGTAAGTAGAGCCTAATGAAAAGAAGTATTTAGGAAGCTGAGAGAGTAAATTTGTAGAGCTCTTGCATCATCATAGCAGCATCCATTTGCTGATATACAACTGAGATGTTAATTATGAAAGACTTTGCTTTTCTTTAAATAATCAATAACGCTATCTTAGAACAAGATTTCTCAACCTCAGCTATTAACGTTTTAAGCTGGATGAGTCTTTGTTGTGGGGGCCATCCCATGTGTTGTAGAATGTTTAACAACTTCCTTGGCCTCTACACACCAGATGCCAGTATTTGCACCCCCCGAGCTGTGACAACCAGAAGTATATCCTAGATGTTCCCTAATGTCCCCAGGGCAAAAGCCAGTTGAGAACCATGGCTTAGATAATCATTAAAGTTTTTGCAAAACTGCATTTCTTTGAAAATACCCTTTTTTAATTAAGAGGGAAAAAATTAAAAACAGAATGAAAAGTATTTCCTCCATCTTTCCCCAATTCAGAAAGGCTTGCCCTCAACCATTCTGAAACTTTTATAATTTTATTCTGCTTCAATATTTTCCCTACACTTAAAAACTATTTGATACTTGCAAATTCTCTCTCATTGGCATTACTATTGAAAACTGATCAGATATTTTAAAAAATCTAATCTCAGGGCTGGCCCCGTGGCACTGTGTTTAAGTTTGACGGGCTCTGCTTTGGTGGCCTGGGTTTGCAGATTCATATCCCAGTCACAGACCTACACCATTTGTCAGCCATGCTGTGGCAGCAACCCACATATAAAGTGGAGGAAGATTAGCCTAGATGTTAGCTCAGGGCTAATCTTCCTCAGCAGAAGAAAAAAAATCTAATCTTGATTTTTTTTTTTTGAGAAACCAATTCTGAAAGACCTCCTTCCTTCCATATTATTCAAAAACAAACAAACCAACAAACTTGACATTATTAGCAATGCTGTGAACTCCAGTGCACTGAGGAGAGCAGGAAGTCTGCGCTCTCCTTGCAGAAATGTCTCAGGTAGCAGGAGCAGGCTGCATTACTTGTTTGCAGAAGCTCCTGAAATGAGCTGTGACATGACCCCTCATTAGCTATACTATCTGGACCTCTCTCAAGTGCCATGCTAGCTCTGTGACTCCATGCACAGTACTTTCTTCTGTGCCTTACACAGAGTAAATGTTTAGTGAATATATATCATGCCCTGTACGTTGAGGGCCTTTCATTGAAATGATTCTATCCATAGGTGCCTCCCTTCTTGGCTTTCCTGCTGTGGTCTTTTCCTTTCAGAAGAGACAAATGGGCGGCCCTGTCTGATAAAAAGCAGGCTCTTTTGATGTTGTCATCCTTCTTTTGATTTGAGAATACTTGGAGGAGAATAAAAATAAAAGTTTGGAATGACACTTATTTTTCAATAGGAAGTATATTTTTAGTCTCCCTCTCAGGGGCTGGCCCCGTGGCCAAGTGGTTAAGTTCACGCGCTCCGCTGCAGGTGGCCCAGTGTTTCGTTAGTTCGAATCCTGGGCGCGGACATGGCACTGCTCATCAGACCACGCTGAGGCAGCGTCCCACATGCCACAACTAGAAGAACCCACAACGAAGAATACACAACTATGTACTGGGGGGCTTTGGGGAGGAAAAGGAAAAAATAAAAACTTAAAAAAAAAAAAAATGGCTGGAAAGCCACATCTGTCAGTGGGCAGGGAATATTTCTCTGGGGACAACACCATTTTCCATAAGGTGTGTGAGTCTAGGATCCTGGTCATGTAGAATTGGTCCAGAGTCTGCCTCTTACTGTCTCATCCTGTGATCTCCTGTGAGTAATTGAATCATCTCTTGCTTTTATTATCTCCATGGCTGAGAGAAAAGGCTTTGTTTATAAAGTTGCTTTCTAGATGTCCACGGAAGGGCTGCCAAGTAAGAAACAGAAAGTAATAACTTGAAGGGAAAGGATGTATTAATACCCAGCACAACTATCCACAGGTGCATGCATTCTACACCCATCCCTGGGCAGGAAGCCCACAGGTCTAAACAGAGCAGTGGTTCGGACACTACCTAGAGCTTAGAAAATAGGAAACAGGGGCTTTTTGTGTGTGTTTATTTCCTCTCTGAAAAATCCTTTATATTTATTAAAGTCATCCCTCTTGACTGAGAATTGGAGACTAAAAATCAAAAGATGCCTTAATTTGCTCACCAGTGGGCCATGTGCTCTTGAAGTAAATCCTGCACTGCTCTAAGCAGTAGAAGGAAGACCCCTCATTCACCACCTGCCCAATGCAACTTTCATGCTTTTAGAAAATGATAAAAAGTTGTTAGAAATGGCAGCCACCTTGACTCTCAGCTTGGGAAAATATCTGCAAATTCTTAGAAAACGCTTTCTGAGCTAGGCAGCCTGTGCTCCTTACTGTGGTTGGGAGAAATAAACCCAAATGTGGATTCTGATTCTTAGGAAGGTAAATGTGATAGGGACATAAGACATTTGCAAAATTCATCTTGTAGCACCATTTATACTTCCTCACAAACACATTTCCCTTGACCTTGACCCAGCTCTTCAGAATGTGGAGGTGGAAAAGGGATGCTTGTGAGGAAAGGCATTCCATGTCCTGGGCAAGAAAGAAGAAAGAATAGGAAGATGAGGAAAGCCTGAAGTGTGGAGAGCATCCCCCTGCCCTCCAGGATCTTTGTGTGCTTAATTCCAGGTGCCAATAGCTGGAAGTCACTGGGATCTGGGCTGCCTTTCCTCTTAGGAGGAAACATTAGATTGGTCAGCTAAGAGCAAACAAGGAGCCCACCAGTCCAAGGGCAGGAAAGAGAATTCCAGGCAGAGGAAACAGCCAGTGCAAAGGCCTTGAGGTGACATATTGGCATATTTGAGTCTTAAACTGGAAATACCTCATGAAAGGCCTGTAAGCTGTTATCCTCATCTCTCCAAAATTATCACAGGCATCAATTAGGCAGTGCACCATTGCCTTGTGCAACCTGTTCCCACCAGAGTATCCTGGAGAAAGACGAGTGAACTGGATGTACTTACTATGTGGGAGCATATTATACTAGAAATATGCCCTGGTCTCTTGGGTGGGATACAAAAGGAAGTGAAGAGGATGCATCAGCCTTCGTGAAAGCCCTTTAAGGGGACCGCTGCAAGTGGTCCATGGCCGGTGAGCCCTGGAAATGCCAGGCCATCCCCATGTCTTACCCAGACCCTCACTATAGAGAAGGGAGAGAGAGTCTCTGTAAAAACAGGTTCCTCGCTGTCAAAAGACAAATGAGAAATACAGGATTATTTTAACAGGGGAAAAGTGTGAATTGCAAAGAGCTACCTATTCACAGTTGCACAATAAAGATACTTTATCATCTTGATTAGCTCAAGCCAGGCAAAACTGTGCTGTTAGAATCTTCACCTTTTCTTTCTCGCCCACACCCTGCATGAACTTTTCTCCCTCATCTGTTTAGATTGCCAGTACCTGTCTGCTTCCTCACCAGGTCCCCCAGTGGTGTCTAGAAAGCTTCTGCTGTCAGTCATTTGTATGTGGCTTAATTTGTTTCATTGACTTCATTATGCCACATATGAAATGTATTCCTGCTAACGTATGGCTTCAAATAGGCATTTTTGTTTTTAAGCTTTTTATCTCTAATTAGGGAATAGGAGGATCCACTGCTCCAGGCAATTTATGACATTATCAGGCAAGATGTGGATATTGGGGAGGAGCAGAGAGGGTCCAGAGAATCACCTTAGTCCAAACCAGCTGGCCCTAAGGGTGGGATCATATCTGGTTCTTTCTTCTTAAGGAGCCCTGGGTCCCGAAAGGAGGGCTGCTCTTCTCAAGGGTTCCTCCTCTCTTGGATGCCATAAATCAGTCTAACCCTCATAGTAGCTTCTGGGAACAGAAGAGGGTCCTCTTCTCCAGAGGCCTGGGGCCCATTTACTGCCTGTGTTCTAGATGTGCCTGCTCATAGCATGCCTTCCAACTTCTCACCCACTCTCTCCTTCTCTGATTACCCCTCCTTTCTTCCTTCCTTCCTTCTTTCCACCTGAAGTCTTTGGTACCTTCTGTATTTGACATCCCGGAATGTACTTCTCTCTCCTCTATTATGTCAGCCTCTTATATAATTCTAGTGTTTCTAACATAGATCTGTGTAGTAGACTGTATAATCTTTAAGATAAATATTTGCATATAAACCAATCCATGGCTTCTATGTGGTGCTGTGAATAAAGGACCGATGGGGGTTCACATCCCAGCTCTGAGCCGGCTAAGAGCCTTGAGGGAGTCTCTTATTTGCCTGTGTTTCCTACTCGCAAAATGGAAAGACCAACCCAATCAGATCGCTGTAAGAATAAAATGAGATCATACATCTAAAGCACCAAGAACAGCACCTGATGCAGAGGGAGCAAATGTGGGCCATAATGTTAGTTATTACCGCTGTTTGCCAGGCATTATGTAAGGTGCTTGGTGTGCAGGATGAACCCACTTGTCCTCATGGAGCAGGCATAAATTAACCAAATAAGCACAAACATGAATTAATTACAAATTATGATACATGCTCTGAAGAAGAAGAAAAATTTTCTATGAGAGAAAATAGCAAGGGGTGATTTTTGCCTGGAGGGTCCAGAAAGATCTCTGGAAGTGTTCCTGAAGAGGAGTCCCCCTGAGCAGGAGCAGCCCTGGGAGGAGTTTGGAGAACAGCACATGTAGTAGAGGGAACAGCATGGGCAAAGGCTCTGAGGAGGGAAGCAGTGTGCAGGAAAAGAGGCCCTCCTCCCAGGAGCACAGTGAACCAAAGGGAGAGGAGAGGCGAGATTGAAGAAGAGCTGAGAATAGCCAAGGACCAGATCACCAGGGCCTGGTGACTCAGGATGCACAGAATCCCAAACATGCAAGTTGATACATAGTAATAATAATGGCTGCTTATGGGAAGCTGTACAAAATTCTTTGCATTAATTGTTAAGTGCTCTGGGGAAATCAATATTGAGAAAAGACCTTTTGATTTTGCTTGAAGAGTGTCGTTGTTGACATTTCAGCAGTGCTATTTTTAGACAGTGGTAGAAAGGAAAAGCAGACTTTCAGCAGGGCGTTAACATGGAAATGGTCAGATAGGGACGGAGTAGGAGGCAGCCCCGAAATGGGCATCCCAGACCCAGGGGATTTCTCCGGTCATCGAAGGCCATCCCTGAGCCTGTGAATGGAGGGGAATGTCTCACCAAGACCCCAGTAGCACTTGGTGCCCTTGAGGGGTGGTCCAGTGTAACCCTGACCCTTCTCTCCCTAATTGTCCTCCCAGGTATGCCATTCTGACCAAAGCCACCTGGCCCTCGTGGAAAGGAGATGAGAAACAAGGTGTCCTCCACCTGCTGCAGTCCGTCAACATGGACGGTGACCAGTTCCAGCTTGGGAGGAGCAAAGTGTTCATCAAAGCGCCTGAGTCTGTGAGTGCGCGGCCGCCCCTCCCCTCCTCTGTGCTACCCCCTCCCTCTCCTCTGTGCTACCCCCTCCCCTCCTCTGTGCTACCCCCACCTCCCTCTCCTCTGTGCTACCCCCTCCCTCTCCTCTGTGCTACCCCCTCCCTCTCCTCTGTGCTACCCCCTCCCTCTCCTCTGTGCTACCCCCACCTCCCTGCAGCTCCTCCGCTGGTCCCCTGCCGACAACATGGCTGGCTTCTTTTTCTTATCATTTGGCTAATGCCTTAACGGGCATCTCCTCCAAGAAGGCTTCCTTCTGCTCCCAATCCAAGGGTAGGTCCTTCCCTACACCCCTGCTCCCCTGTCACCTTCAGGGCACTCAGCGTGTATAGAGATGTCATCATATGATTCTTTCTCTTCTTACTTACTGTATCTCTCCCATTCTAGATGACCATCTCCTTGAAGTCAGGCACCCCTGCCTGTTTATATGCCATTGTATACTCAGAGCTCACACAGGGAGTGGCTCATAGGAGGTGCTTATAGGTATTTATAGTGTCCAGTAGTGTCTAAACTAAAAAGGGACTTCTTTGTCCCACAAAGGAGGCTTAGGTAAACCTACATCCTCACCTGGGTGATACCAAACAGGTCATTTACACGCAGGCCCAGGCTTCCTCCTTAAATGCAGAGAGAACCTAGAGGGGTGAGAATTCCTAGGATTGTACCTTGAAGACCATGAAGGAGTCTGGAAAGGACTGTGAGGAGACAAATAGGTAGGGGGAGAAATCTCTGGTTTATAGAGCATGAATATTTACCAGAAAGGAATTCAAACATATTCATTTTACAATTCACAAACTTACTAGATCTCTACAGATTAATTTCTAGGAACTTCTTTATGTTTCCTAATGAGGGTGTGGTCACTGTAGGCCTAATGAATGTCCGTAGGAAGATCTCAGTTTGAGCAGGAATCCAACACAGCCCCTCACTTCTTCTGCCCAACTAGCTCTGGGGCTATGGAATAAAGACATTACTGTTTAAGTTGGAGAAACTGCTAGAACTAACCAAGTTTGACATCATCATTTCTTGAGATTCCTATAACAATCACAAGACTCCATTTCAATCGTCTATGGTAAACTTGGCAAAGTTAGTCATCAGAGCAAGGGGAAATAAAATGAGAACTTGGAGTAATAATGGAAACTTTAGGCAAATCCTGGCCTCGCAATGAGTTTTCTTCTCCTCTAGAATGGAGAAGAATGGAGAACCTTACAGCTGCTGTTCTGCCTGCCTCATAGGATCAGCCTGAGACTCAGAAGTGAATATGGCTGTAACTGAATGGCTTTATGAACCATAAAAATTATTAAATAAATAAGTGGCACACGTCGATAGAACCCATTTATGAAAAGTTTGTGGTAGCATTTTCCACTTTGAGTTATTTGTAGCTTCACAGCAATTTCATTTCTAAATATAAAATGAAAATGTTGTGTCATACACCATTAAGCATCCCACAGAACAGTTCCTGTTCTTTCTAAAACGGGATGGAGTGATTTATCAGTACAATGCAGCTCCTCTGTTGTTTTATACCTACTTTTGCTTTTTCAACTTGCTAAATTTTCACATATAATTAAAAACAGCTTCAATGCTTTTCATTCTTTTTTTTCTGATTCAGTTCAGCTTTGAGGTTTTACTTCCAAAATTAACATTTACTTTTGGTTTTTCTTTTCCTTTCTTCCTCCCAGTTGCTTTATTACCGTCACTTGACTCTCATTTCCCCTGTCTTTTCACACATACACACACACTCCACTACTCTCTCCCCTCCCCCATCACTCATCCATCCACACCTAGCCTTGACATTGCAAATACTTGTACAAAAATTGGTTTTTAAAAATCCACCTTGTGATTTTGCCTTGGCTTTTACAGGAAATGCACTGAACACACAAAATAACCCATTTGCTTTTAAGAACCCACGTTAGACATCAGGCACCAAAGGGTTTGGTCTTGTGTATTTGTTACATGTGTCCATGATTTTTTTTCCCCCTCTCTCTCTTTTTTCCTTGAACCTCCCTGCTTTCTCACCCCCCATGGCTTTTGGAAAGAACCTAAAACCCAACTAATCTTTGAAATAGTCTATAGGATGTTGGGAATTGGTTGTTTCTTCATCCTTTCTGAGTCACAAGTGTGTTTTCTGTGCCATTCCCAAAATAGTTCTGGGAAAGAAGACGAAAACAAGACTTACTCAGAAACCAAACACACAAGATAAGAAACACCAACGAATATTCTTACAACAGGCAACCGCAGGGCTCAGATTTTAAACATTCTGTCCAGTTGTTAAACCATGTATTCCCTTTTGTACTGAGAAATAAATGCCTCATGCCTGTTGTATATGGCACTGAAGGCTGTGGATTGAAGTGACCCCTCCCTTGGTATTTTGAGTTTGAGGTCTTTCTGCACAGCTGGGGCTGAGAGAAGGAGAAGCTGAGTGACTGGAGGAGATAGATGTGACTCCTGAAGCTAGACCCAGATAAACAGAGACCACAGATCAAGCCCAGCTGCCTTCAAACCACATTTGCTTGTTTACTTCTGGAACATTTTTGCAATGGCTATTCATCCTCTTTACTTTGGATTTTTGTTGGTTTCTTTTCTTTTCTTTTTTCCTAGAGAGTCATGTGAACCACTTCCTAGGTGAATGGTAAAGTTTCCCACCATTCTGCGAGTTGATCAAATGCCGATTTACAGAGAAAGACTTTTGTGTCAAAGTGAGGAAGAGGCTACAGAGCCTGAAAGACCTTGGTTCACTTTCCAGCCCCACCCAGGCTTCGTTCCAATTTTCCCATCTGTAAAATGGAGACACAGAAATATGCGGCTCGTCTAGGTGTTGAGGGGTTGAATGATATAGTGCATATGAAGTGTCTAGGGTGATTCCTGACCCATAGTGGGTACTCGGTACATTACAGCTCTTTGCTTTCATCTTCATTATTCCAGAGCTTCATTGAGTAGGATGCAACAATTAGTATTAATTGTTAAAATGGCCTGAGTTTCAAGACCTGCCAGTGTCTGATACGGGTCTTTAAGCAAAAGTGTCTCAGCCCCTCTTGGTGAATCCAAGTCCTCACTAGCACATCGTAGGTCCAGCTCCGGTCACTGTGGTTATTATCCTCTGCCCAGTGACACCTTGGGGAATCCTATGAGGCAGGAAATCTATACTTTCATGGTACTGACAGTAAGGCAGTCCTCCTTCCACAGCAGCACAAGCTCTGCTCCTTCAAAAGCTGGAAAATTCTATTAAGAGGCTTTAGGCAGCACAAAACAATAGCCTCCACCAGCTCATTCGACCTAACCACCTAGTATCCTCTTTGGACCAGGGTGGGGAATAAGTGGATGAAGGTTGAGTCACTCATTTGATTCTCACCGGGATTCTGAGCGAGGTAGGGCAGACACCATTAAGGTCCAACTGAATACTCTCAGACCCAGCTATTTTCCATTATGTTTTTTTGTTTAAAAAATCTGTAGATACAAAAGTTATAGTGATCCTAAACAACATGCCCTAATAATCATTTTTTCACATTTGTTTATGAGTCTGAGAAGCTGCTTTCCACGTATGTCCTTGACTAAAATCAAGTGTCCCTGAAATAACCCCAAAAAGTGATGCTCAGGTCTTGTGAATTGGCTCACATTTGTCTTCTCTACGTTCACAGCTATTTCTTCTAGAAGAGATGAGAGAGAGGAAGTATGATGGGTACGCTCGAGTGATACAGAAATCTTGGAGGAAGTTCGTAGCCCGGAAGAAGTACGTCCAAATGCGAGAAGAAGGTATTTGAGTCATTTTGTTTCACACACTTAACAAATCTCAAGAGGAATTTAGAGCTCAGGTGAAGTCACAAGTTCATTTGACTTTGCATATCATGCTGTGTGTTAAAAACCTTGCGTTCAGGGGCTGGCCCCGTGGCCGAGTGGTTAAGTTCTCGAGCTCCGCTGCAGGCGGCCCAGTGTTTCGTTGGTTCGAATCCTGGGCGCGGACATGGCTACTGCTCATCAAGCCACGCTGAGGCAGCGTCCCGCATGCCACAACTAGAAGGACCCACAACTGAGAATATACAACTATGTACCAGGGGGCTTTGGGGAGAAAAAGGAAAAAAAAAAATCTTGCATTCATTTAGAGCTTCTCTGTGTATTTCCACACTAAGTATTTCCCTCCTTTCTCTGGGGAACCAATCCCTCTCCTTTCTCTGCGCTTCTGGGAATTGCAGCCTCAGACCTCCTGTTGAACAAGAAGGAGAGAAGGAGAAACAGTATTAACAGGAACTTCATCGGGGATTACATCGGGATGGAGGAGCACCCGGAACTCCAGCAGTTTGTGGGCAAGAGGGAAAAGATCGATTTTGCAGACACAGTGACCAAGTACGACAGGAGGTTCAAGGTGCGTGCTGACCTCCTGCCTCTGAGAGTTCACCGAACAGATTCCTTAGTTTTAAAAATCACTCATAATTGTGCTTTTCTTATTACCAAAACAGAACATGTTCATTGTAGAAAAACTTAGAAAATACAGATAAGCCAAAAGGAAAATAGCCACCTATACCCAGAAAAATCGCTGTCAACACTTTGTGTGTAGAACTTTTTTATACAACATGCATTTGTATATTTAATTCTACAAAAATGAGACTACATTCCGTGCTGGTTTATGTCCTGGCTTGTTTTTTTCTTAAAATATGCCAGGGAGAACTTTCCAGATTAATAGATATATCAATATAATTATTTTATTTAGCTGCATCATATTCCATTCAACAGATGCTTCACTCTATTTTTAACCAATTTCTCATTATCCATTTTTAGTGGGTTTTTTTTTTGTTTGGGGTTTTTGTTTGTTTGTTTACTGTCATAGAAAAGGTTACAGTGAGCTTCCTTTCACACATATCTTTGTGCGTTTGCGGATGCTTTTGGAATAAATTGATAGGCGTGGAATCATTGGGTCAAAAGATTCAGAATATCAAGCAATACTGCAAAGTGTTCTTACCCGTGACACCACCACCAAAGGGACAGCTGATTCTTTTACTTCCACCCCTTCCCTTAGACTCTTTTTTTTGCCCAGTAAGATCTGGGCTCCAATGAAATCTGCAGCCACAGTAGTTCACAGACCCAGGAAGAGCTTTTTGTTTGTTTGGATTTGGGTCAGGAAAAAAAATGAAATAAGCAAGGATTCATATAACAAGGAAGATGATGCTATTTTGCTGAAACCAAATCACTCCTTACAGCTGCTCTGCTGGCAGATTTGAATGCGAACATGAGTAACTGGGGCTCTCAGTAGTGTTTGGGTATAAGGTGGTCGGTAACCCACATATTCCAAAGTTTCTTTTTATTAGATTTTTAAGTTAGTCACTGAAATGAACATTTACCGATTTCAGAAAGTAAAAATTTCGTGGGCTCACAAAAAGCATCTACATGGATACTTGAGGGATCCCTGGTTGAGAAGCACGCTCTAGTAGATAATATGGTAGAGTCACCATGTGTGTTGGTTTGCCTGGGACTGTCCCTTTCCACCTGCTGGCCTCATATCTCACGTGGATGCATGTGAATTTGCTATTTTTGTAAGTCGGGAAAGTCAAACATCAGCAATTTCATACATGTCAACCTAATAACCATCAACAATGCCCTTTTTCATTCTTAAGGGACCTGGGTAGATGATAAATGGAATGGGCATACCAATGGCAGTGAAAATTTGCTACCCAAGGCAGTGTCCCTTTGTCTGGTGACAGATGCCGATTGTGTGAACAGCTGTCACTTTGACTTGTCCGCCACTTTCTTAAAGCGCCTCTCCTTACAGGGTGTAAAGCGAGACCTGCTTCTTACTCCAAAGTGCTTGTACTTAATTGGACGAGAAAAGGTCAAACAGGGTCCTGACAAAGGCCTCGTGAAAGAAGTGCTGAAGCGGAGAATAGAGGTGGAGAGGATCTTGTCCGTGTCCCTCAGGTGAGTGGTGAGGGGATGGAGGGCGAGGAGTCCCATCTCTTCTCGACATCACCATCCACTATATGAAACACAGCCTGGAGCAAGGCTCAGGCAGGCTCCCCGATTGTCAAAATCATGATGAAGAGAACAGAATTTCCTCTTCTTCCCAAGGAAGACCTGACCCTCATAGGTCTCAGGGCGTCCTGAAAGGCCAGGAATGAGGTACCAAGAGAAGATTACCGTCTGGTCAGCTCCTCTAATCAAAGGGTACTCAGATCATTGTTTCCATAAAATTTGAGAAACAAACTTAGTATTTGGAACAAACAGTATAATTTCTCTTACTGAAGTGGGGTCGAAAGTCCAGAACCATGTCTCCCCAAGCCCACCTCAGCCCCTTTGAAGACCTAACCCATATTCCCAGCAAAGGCCCAGGCAGAGGTGGCCATTAGGTCATCAGGATTGCTTTTTAGTTTGCCGTGATTTCTGATTGTCCTGGAAAGGAAGTTTCCTTAGGGTCCTTTCTGCCTGTTCATGCAAGGGACGGAGTACAAATTGGTCTCCATAATCTGTAGCCCTGGAGTCATCGCCAAATGCTCCCTTCAACTCCAAGTTCACAGGCAGAGGCTCTTGCTCTTCCTGTCAACACTTGGGCTTTCAGTTGGCAGGGGGACACCTGTGCGGGAGACTTCCCTCAATCCTCTAGTGCTAAGAACTCCCAGACTAAGTCTGCCCTGAGGAGAGCAAATCTTCCCGGTCCGTGGGAGGCTGAGGAAAGAGGAAGAAAGGCTCCTTTGAGCCCAGTACCTTCCTTCTTGAGTTGTGGCCCTGGGCCCTTTTGAGAATTCCGCTGCCTTACCCAGGACAAGCTTTGGGCTGCCATTGCGTTGAAAGTAGTGACGTTCTGGTCTCTTGTGAACCTGGCTTACTGGAATTGGGACACCTCTCTAAACTCTTATTCTGCACAGAAGACAAAACTGCTGTGCTCAGGACAAAGCAGGGCTTTTTTTGCTCTGGCATCTGACCTATCAGGCTGGAAATCCTGGCTACGGTGTGATAATCCAGAGCAGGTTTCAAGTTGTGTCCATTCTTGCCTATGTCACTGTGGTTTCTGATTCTACCTGTTCCCAATTTTCCTGGATAAAGGGTCAGGCAGTGCTGTGAGGTTGAGTGTTTAAAACATTGCAACTCAGGATGTGGTAAAACTTCTAAGCAGATGAGTCCATCTGCAGCCTTCTGCAGCCCCACCTCAGGTAGGTCTCGGCGCCTTGGATTTCAAGGGAAAGCTCTAGCCTCTAAGACCTGGTTTTCAGAAGGTCTTCCTGAGCAATTTGGCTTACTGGCTGGGCCACCATCTGAGTTGGGTGGCCTGCTGGCCACACTCTTCCAGCTAGCTGTGCTGTGAGGCTGCCTTTGGTGTTCCGTGGAGCCCCACTGGAAGCTTCGCTTTTTTTCTTGTATGGGGAGCAGCTCTACCTGGGCTAAGCTGGGTTGGCTGAACTGCCCTGTGTACACTTGACAGTAGCTGTGGAGGAAAGCCAAGGAGTCGCAGCTCTGGGGCGCATCTGCTCACTCCCTGAGGGGGATTGTTTTTCTGTTCTTATCACCCAGGTCTGTCTTCAGCCTTCAGACCATTCCAAGAGTGCTTGGTCATGAACAATCATAATATATCTACATTTCTATCAGGCGCTTTGACTCTTTGACACTGTCCTGTTGATCAAGTCCTTGAGGCTTATCCAGGTTTGGGATAGTCACAGTCAAATTTTTTCCTTCTGTCTTTTTTTCTTCCCTCATAGCCTCCGGGAATACAGTGTGTTTATCACCAGCTTCTTTTTCTGCTTCCTCTTTAGTATTCACAGCCTGGACATTTGCTTCCTTGTGGCCTTTCCTTTTTAGAGGATGTAATAAAATGAGGTACTTAGCCTGAAAGTTGTTCTGGCTCTAGGGGAAAAACTAAGAGGCTGAGTCATCCTAACTTGTGATCTCTGCGTGTTGCAGTTGCTGAGCGCCACACTTACCAAGACTAGTACTGCTCCCTCATTTCCTTTACCCATTGGATGTAGGCCAGTAATCTAAACCAAGCTAGGAATGCCACCAGACGGGTGATGTGTGTGCCGAGTCAAACCAAGAGTAGAAATGGATTGTGGTACCAGACCACCAAATGGGTGTGTGTATTGTGTTCTCTGAAAATATTTCAATACTGGGGTAGAGAAAGATCTTAACAGTCGTCTTGCACTTCAGGAAAAAAAGTTGTAACATTTGTATGTGTTTTGAAGGCTTTAGGAGGCTTACTACTTGACTGTTAGCTAGACTGATCACCTAATGGCTCCTTCTAGTTAAGACTATCAGAGGGTCCTACCAGCTTGATCTTTCAGCCCATCTCTAACTCTTCTAACTACCGCCAAAGCAAAGTGGCCTCACAGCTCCCTAGTCAAACCAACCAACCATATAAAAGCAATCAATGAGACGATTTGGGAAATGCAAGCATGACTAAACAGTTGATATGAAAGATTTATTGTTCATTTCCTTAGGTGTGATGATGGTATTGTGGCTATTTTTATTTAAAGGGGCTTTATCTTTTAGAGATACACACTGAAATATTTAAGGATATAATAATATAATATTCATATTTTGCTCTAAAACAACCTATTTTGTCTGTGGAAGTCGGAAGTCTGGACATGTAGATAAATATGGTTTTTTGTGGATTGATGTCTTGAAACCTTCTGACATAGAGGTTCATTCTGCCATTCTACTTTTTTTATATTTGAAATTTTCCATAATAAGAAGTTTTTTCTAATCCTCTAGTAAACATCATGTTTTTAGAAGTCTTGACCTTTTATGAATACACTGAAATATGTCTCGTTGAATTATAGTTGAAATGTAAAAAAATTTTTGAGTTACATGAAAAAAATAGGGTAGGCTCTAGCTCAGAGAGATATGAGGACTGCAGTTGCTGAAAGGGACTCTTGGATAATTTGAACAGGAAAAATCCTTATCTAAAAAAAAGTTAGGCCAAAACACTGATGCCTACAGTTCTGCCTTCACTGGGACTTGGTGAGAATATCAAGAGGTGGCACACCACGGTACAGTGCGACATGGAATTTCTGAGGTTCGGGGGACCTGCTGATGGACGGCCAAGCATCGGGCTTCGAAGGATCCTTCAAGAGCTGCTTCTTCTCTGAGTACTGACTTGGCCTCACTCTTATTTGAAAAAGTCGATTCAATAGAAGGGTGGCCACAAGGTGTAATAGCCTATGTTCCTTACTCTCCTCTTGCAGGCGATGAGATTGGTACTGTAAAATCTCATATTTGGGGCTCTCTGATGGGGCTTCTCATTCCCGTAGCTGACCGCTAGAGGCCTAAGACCACAAGCTACGTGGCTGCCTGTCTGGGTCAGTAGATTTTCCAATACTTGTATGTAATTCAAAAAGCAACCGCTAAGAGGCGGCTTTAGATGGAGGCTCAGCCCCCTTGGTCATAAACTTCTTGCCTAAAACATTTCCTTGCCCAATTGCACTCACCTCTGGCAGTTAGAACAGCCTGCTCAGCTGACCTGAGGCATTTCTGAAATCTGGACTCAACTGTGGCCTTTGGGCTTTGGGAACCTGGAAGTTGTCGACATTTTTAGACTGACCACCTGCCTTGGGTTCAGCCCTGGGATTCCAAGGTGAATGAGACGTAGTCACTGCCTCAAGGAGCTCCTCGCATTCTGGAAGGAGGAACAGATACCTGAGTAAACATGTGCATACGGGTTACAAGTGCTCAGAAAGTGACGTTCAGGATGCAAAAGACAGGAGGGAGCCTTCCCCCTGGGGGTCAGATGAGGCTTCTCCCGGGAGGCCTGTGGTGAGGTCTGACACAACATATGTCTGCACTTTCTCAGAGAAATGAGGGAGGATCCAAAACTGGTGCCACTGGTTTCTCTGAGTGGTAGAATTCTGGGTAAAGTTTATTTTCTTGTGTATTCACGTCTGTGCTTTCCAGTTTACTAAAAGGAGCATTTATTTCATAATCAGGAAACATTTTTTAAAAGCTTAAATAAAGGCAGGCCTGTCCTTGGAAACTGCCTTTTCAGCTTTAAAAAAAAACTTCTTTAAGACTTTACTCAGTGTTTTGTAACTAACGTGTTTGCGAAGAAGATATTGGTTAAGGGAGCAAGAGAGAATTTTCTAGTGTTGTCAGCAATACAACAATAAGCCACAAAGACGAGTGGATAAATAGCAAGTAGAGCCAAACCAGGGACTAGTAAGGCTCTTTCAACACAGGAGACTGAGTCAAACATCTGTAAGGAATTGCAGCTTGAGCGTATGAACAAGACGGGGTGAAGTCCAAAGATAAGTCTGACTTTTTAGAATAAATAAATGTAAAAGCTTTGTTTTCAGATCTAGGAGCATGGGCTGAAGAGGCGGAATGAGCTGAAACTCTGGCCGGGGTGAAGATGCTTTCACTGACCCCTGTGCCTGGGTCATTGAGGGAGGGGTTACTGAATTGGATGGTTGAAGTCAAAGTGTCCAAACATGCTCTTCTCGTTTCCAGACTCATGCTGATAATTGACCTTGAAGTTTTGGCCTGCTTGCTTTTTCTCTTTATGGTAATGAACTCCTAATACATCTAAGCACATTAACCCGCTCAGGGTTACGGGTGTTGTGCTCATTTAGCCCTGTTGAATAATTGCCGTTCCGCCTGAAGTATAGCCAGGCAAACAGACATGTCCAGGCCTGTCAGAGAGCACTTGGAGTTAAGCAACTAATACAGGAAGGAGTTTCATTCCTCACCCCACACACCAAAAAGCGGTGCCTCCTGTTTGACTCTTTCCCCATTGCGTGTGCTCCCTTGCTAAGGCGGCAGTCTTCTTATACCACTGCTGGAGTGCTTGGACTCTATTTCATGAATCCCAAATGACTTGGGGGAGCAGCTTCTCCATAAGTGCCTTTTGGAGTTTTGAATTGCTGTAATTGAAGTAATTAAGACAATTCCAGAGTTTTCATCTGGCCAGAATCTGGAAGATGATAGTAGCTTTGTGGTCACAGCTCCTGAAGCATTATTCTCAACCTTTTGGAAATGATTCCAATTCCTAGTTTGGAAAAGTTTGTGGTCAAGAAAGTACAGTGGAGCTTGTGAGCTGTCCTGCAATACCCATTCTCTTCCTTACATATCAATAGCTGGCAGCCTAGCCAAGGACTACGTTTCCCAGGCTTCCTTGCAGCTAGGTGTAACCATGTGACCCACTACTGGCCAATGGGTTGTGAGCAGAAGTGACTTGTACAACTTCCTAGTCATAAGTTTAGTGGGAAGGAGTAGGTGCCTGGCTTCCAGGCACTGTGGAACTGTCATGTTGGCCCTCAATTGCTTTTGCATGTGCTGTTGAGTGACAGAGATAAAAACGCTATATTGTTTAAACTACCAGTTGTCAAAATCTTCATCACAACAGAAAAACTTATAACCCAACTATCACAAGTGTAGGCAAGAAGCATGGTTGTGATGTGGAGATATCTGAAAATAGACTCTTGAGTTAATAATAGTGACCAAGTGCTGCACCCAAATGGCCATTATTTGTCCAAAAGCCACTGTAAAGTATTCTGATTCCACATGGAAGAAGAGCTCTTTGGGTGCTCATCTTCAGGAAGCAGGCTGTGAAGAGCCCAGCTCCTCTCCCTGGTGCTGGTATCTCGCTGGTAGTTGACTCCACTCCTCCCCTGTGGTTTGTGCATGCTGCCATTCTGTGCCTTTGCATTCCAACTGTGCAGTGGTCCTGCCTTTGACCTTCTTTCTCCTGTGGATTACCAAGCTCCTTTCCTCTATGACAGCTGAGGGGTTGAGGATGCAGGGAGACAGGCCGTGACTATAGCTCCCGGCTCTGTCAGGCTCAGGTCATTAGCTCCCTGCCTCAGCCCAGAGACAGAAGGTTCCTGACAAGCCTGGGATCGTCCACCAAGGCTCTCTCTGCCCAAGGAAGACATCTGGTCTCCAGGACTGCCCACTGTGACCTTGTCATATTGATAGGACTAAAAAGAGAGACCACAGGAGTTGCAGTTTAAATATTTCAAATTCTACACAAAGGAAGAGTCCCTGGTCTCAAAGATTCTCTCTACTCTGGTCCTCCATATGATCCACTTGCCTCACCATCTGGCCTTTTCACAGCCACAGTAATCCTACTGGTGCCCCGGTACCAGGAGCCCCAAGAGCAGAGCATAGCTCCTATGTGATACAGCACAACTCTGGTTACTAAGAGAACCATGGCTTTGGCACATTCTGCGCCTGGAGAGATTAAAATGTTACTTTGGTCAGTTCATTGAAGGAGATTCACTTAAATTGTGTTTAATGCCTGGAAAAATGCTTATCATCCCTCATGAAATGTCATTCTTCAGAGGGCTGTCTTAGATATTTGACAGTGGTACTTGGAGGTACTTGTAAATGTGTATATTATGAAGCCCTTGGAATGGTGGCCTCCTTCAACTGAGCTATACATCTAACAGCTAGGGAGTAAAAAGTCTCAATTATACGTGTGTTGTAGTTTCCAGGAAGTCTAGCTGGGCCTGGAGATGGAGCTGTGTCTAATCACTCCCCCTGAGCACTGAGCACTTTCTCCATGACTGGGTTTCCTCGGCCTCTTCCTTCTAAGCTCCCTGCAGCTCCTAACATTCCCTCCTCTCCAGTCCTGAGTTTCCCCACAGCCCAATCCCATCCAAACATGCAGTTCCTGCAAAGCTGTGTGCTTTCCCCGTCCCGCGCAGTTCACCAGCGGGAAGGTGATGATTGCGCCTGCTTGCTGTGTGTTCACCTGTCCTGTGTGCCTGTACGTCTGTGCGGTGGTGCATCCAGCAGCACCTGGCACGCAGTATAAGCAGAGCACCACATCCCCAAAGGCTCCTAATAAGTGCGTATGAAGCCAGGCCCTTGGCTTCCCTCTGATCACTGAGCTTACGGTTGTTCAAGTTAGGGTTTATTACAATAGCTACAAGCATATCATAAATTCTGCTAACTTGGAGCTTAGAGGACTTGTTCATTTTCAGCCACGTTCTATTCACAGCATTCTGGAGTTTTGTGATCTTAAGAACACAGAAGATGAATTTGAAAATGGATTTTTCTAAAATGCAGACTAAATTGTCCTTAAATTCTTGATTTTAAAAATCATTTGGGAAAAGTATTATAATTGTGATTTTGCTGGGCTATAGACTTCCTTTGAAAGCAGATTTCAATGACTTTATCATGTAGTTCGTTGTTGTTATGTTTGGTTTTAAAGATTCTCTCTTACTGAAAGACTATAGAAGCCTAGGACTATCTTACAGGATAAATAAATGAGTGAAAAAAATAATGGAATAAACATAAGTGCAACTTGCATTAAGTCTTTCCAATCTCTTTGCAGTACTATGCAGGATGACATTTTTATTCTTCATGAACAAGAGTATGACAGTTTGCTTGAATCCATCTTCAAAACTGAATTTTTAAGCCTGTTGGCAAAACGTTATGAGGAAAAAACTCAGAAGCAACTACCTCTGAAATTTAGCAATACGTAAGTTGAGAACCGGGGCCCAAACATCTGAGGGAAACTAAAAGGGACCTCACCCGTGGGGTCCAGGCTGAGAGGAGAGCCTGCGGGGTGGGGTGTGTGGTCTGACTGGCTCCAGTGGCTTCAGTGAAGCCCAGCCTCGGGTGCCTCAGCGCCCCCTGTGGACTCTTAGAGGCTGAAGAGGACAGCCTGGATGGTTGTCACAGACTTTGAAAGGGTCACTTTCACAGTTCTGTGAAATAATGACTTCATCAAATGGTGTATTTTATCATTTGAACAAAGGTCACCAAAGTGGGGCAGAGGAAAGCCAATTTTTATACATCATCAGTAAAAGAATATTTTATTTAGCAGAACAAATAGAAAGGGACTAAGGCTGGAAGAAGAAGAGACTGGAATAGGGGCTTAAGTTCCCAAGATGTATGCATAATAAAACCTGTTGGTGGGCCATTTGGGGACTTGGGTGCTGCGATGGCCAGTCTTGTGTCTCAGCTCACCTTCATTTGTTTTAGCAACATAGTCTCGTGGACCAGATATTTCATACTGTTGAGCTCCTAATCTCATATTTGCTGAGTGAGAGTTATTTGGCTTTTCTTCTTAAATTTCCCCATCTATAAAATGGAGGTATCCTCCATCCCTTCCCATTCATGAGAATGAGGCCAAAGTAAAGCCTTAGTTCATGATGAGGGACACTTACCATAACTAATGCTGCTGTGGGTGCAATGAAATAGATCCTAGTAGCAGCATGAATTCATTACAGTTTTTCCACAGAACAATTTGGCCATCCGTACCAGGCGCCATTATTTGTGTCTGGGAATTTGTGATAAGGGAATAATTCAAAAAAAGGATGAATGTGTGTAGCCAAGCCACTCAATAGAATAATAGGCAACTACTTAAAATTATGGTTTTCCTGCCTTACAACATGAGAAAATATAAGCTCAACAAGTAGAATATGGAATTTCTTTCTGTAGGCATATAGGCAATATGAAAAATAGACACTGGCAGAGGAGTTCTAGAGTTGCGAGCACGCCTCCATTCTATTTGGGTTTTGGTTGCTAGTGTTGTCTTTTTCCCTACCTGGCGGGGGTGGGGGTGGTGATGGAGCAATAGAATGTAATTAAATAATAGCCACATTCTATGCTAAGGAGACACAGACTATTTTGAGTCTGGCATCTCTCAGTCCTCCACAAACACAGTCCCAGGGAAGTCAGAGAGAGGCACAATGACACACCACAGCAGTGTGGCTGGAAATTGTCCCCATCCTTCTGTCTCGCAGCAGTCCCGCCAGCGTCCACCTGACAAGTGACCTTGGCACCTGTGAGGGGCCCCTCCTTCACCAACTGGTTTCTCGCAGGTGCTGGATCCCAAATGCTTCTGCCTCTGGTCAGTGGGCTCACCCTGCTGCCAAAGCAAACCCATGGATGTCATACTCATGCCCAGGGCCCTGTGCTGGTTTGATGCTCTGGTCCTGCCTCATTTTTGCCCGGCAGCAGATTCTCTACTGGGGTCTGTAAGCACCATTGTCTCTCTCCTTCTTTCCGACTTGTTAATTCCAACAAATATGCTTGTCGCAGGCTTGAACTCAAGTTGAAGAAGGAGAACTGGGGTCCCTGGAGTGCAGGGGGCTCCCGGCAAGTGCAATTCCACCAGGGCTTCGGTGACCTGGCCATCCTCAAGCCCAGTAACAAAGTGCTGCAGGTCAGCATCGGACCCGGGCTGCCCAGGAACTCCCGTAAGTGTTCCACGGGTCCCAGGGGCGGGCCGCCACCTGGGCTTCTGGGCCTTCCCTGCCTGGCCCTCGCTCACCCTGCTGCAGGCCAAACTCTCTCCTCACCAAACACTCGTAACCTGTGCACAGATCTGCGGGGCAAAGAACCAGTACACTTAACTGCTTCCTGTGGCTGGGGTTTCCTTCAGACTGAAACGTTTCAAAAGAAACCAACGTCAACGCAAATGGGCAGGTTAAACCTTTCCGAATGATTTCTTAGTTATGTATGGTATTCCAGGCATTACAATATTAATTGTGTTTAAAACCAATCAGTTTGTTGGCTTCCAATTTCCCAGCCCTTTCCAGTTGGATCTTATCAACAATACAAACCTTATCCTTCCTGTCCCTTTTAAAGAAATTGACCACATTTACCATCTCCCCACACGGTTTCACTATGTTGCTGTGCATCAGATCCAATATCTCCCACCTCCACTTTAGCGTGCTTCATTAGAAGCCTCACATGCACTAACTCACTCCTTAGTCTAACTCCTTTATTGGCCTTTGATTCTTTTTCTATTTATAAATGACATTCATAAAATTGTTTTATAATGCACAGTATAATCATATATGCTATGTATTCATATAATGTAGATATCTTCATATAATTTAGTCCATGTGTATGATCAATGAAGAGTATATAGACAGGCCTTTATGAAATCTATCTACCAAGGTAACATTGGCATGTCCTGTAGCTCACTAATACAACACAGACAAATAGCCACCCAGAAAATGTTGGTGTATGTCTGTGTATCAGTTGGTACTTGCAGAAAACAGCCAGCACGTTTAGGTGGGATTTTTGAAAAGACCTTTAAATAAAGGGATTCTTTACTGAGATGTGGGCAGGGTAAGGAGACAAAGTGGGGACCCAGGGATAAAGAACAACAGAACACCATTATTACCCCTCACCCTGAAGAGACAGAGGGAGGAAAGAGTTGAGCTTAAGGATACAGGCAGAATAAGTACCTTGACTTCTTTTTCCTCTGGCACTCCAATCTCCTGCCAGTGCCTCCCACTGGGCAAACCCAACTGGAATGCAGAGGCCTAGTGGCCCAGGTGAGCCCAGGGCACAAAGCATGGCAAAGAAGGGCTGCAGATAACCAGAGGATGTGTGCGACAATGTTCAGTAGCCCCCAGAGTGGAGCATTGTCTAATACGGTGTTTTGTGATGTCTTCAAGGGAGCAGGCAGGGAGTCCGGGTACCGAGCGGATAACCCTCGGCAGGTCACTTCTCCTTGCCCCAGGGCCTGAGACCAGCTCCTCTGCTTTGTGCTATTCACGCCTTGTCACTTCCTGCCCTTCTCTATTCTTCAGCCCTTCTTTTTATAAGGGATTCCCTCTGCATCGCTCTTCCTGCTGGTTTAATCCTACCTTCCTTCCTGTCCCATTTGAGACCTTAACTTATTGTTTTCCTTTCCAACATACATGTCTCTGCAGAGATGTCATGTGGCCACCAGTGGCCCTGCGGCCCCCGCCCTAATTCTGGCCCACAATGATGTTTCATTTAGCACCAGCTTGTTTTCTAACTCTTCCTTTCTGTGTCAAGGATACAAGTCTGCTTCTACCCTTCATGGTCTCTGTTTAACTGGAAGACTCTAGAACACAAACTCTTGCATGAAAGTCTCTTGACGTAGGCAGATGTGCAGTTGATGCTGACATGTGCTTCATGCCAGGGACCATGACGTGCAGCTCACATGTTCAACTTCTGTGCTGTGTTCAGAGCATGAGTGCAAACATTATAATGTTCCATCTGTCTCATTTGAAAGTCTACAAAACTACAAACACCTTTGTAAGATCATTACTATCTCTTTGTAAAGCCGTTGTCTCTAACGTTTCAGAACTGTACCTCCATCAACATATCCTCCAGCCCCTCCCATCCAGCAGCTACCAGGATAGTACTCCCCTCAGACCTCCCATCCCCGCTGCAGATCTGATGGGGACCTGGATTCCAAGCTTTTCAAAAGTTTTCCATAAGCAGAAACCAGCAGGAGCTGTTAAACCAACCAGTGGTACTGACTTTAACTTTCTCTTGCTTGTGGATTTCAGGTCCTACCAGAAGGAACACCACTCAAAACAGAAGTTATCCCAGCGGGACGCAAAACGCCAACTACCCGATGAGAGCTGCCCCTCCGCCCCCAGGTAGGCCAAGCGTGTGCCATCGACTGGGGCACTGATCTGGACCCATGACTTGTAAAATATATTTGGGAAGAAACCCATTAGCGAATAAATGCACACATATTCGCCAGCAGGAGCCATTTTAGTGTCAGATGTACTGCCACCAACACAAACGCCCTGCCTGTGACCCTGGAATTCAGGAAAATTGTGAGCTAGTGAGATGGAACGTTGGCTGAGTTAACGATCTGGATTTCATTACCTAGCAATATTACTCCCTTAGGAAAGGCTTCCTACATCAGTCAGAGAAAAAAAGAGTTCCTTGTCCGGGACAGCCAGAATGTGGTCAGCTTTTAAGCTGAAGGATGCTGCCTTTATGGAAAGGGGAGTTTGTCAGGGATAACCCCCCCACCACTACCCAGCTCCAGCCAAATACTGTGACAATATTTTGCTACTAAGAAGAAAAATTTTGTTCTTCGTCAGATAGGACCTAGAAGAACTGCTCTAAGAATAAAGTGATGTCTGAGAGAAGAACAAAATGGATACAAAAAAGTTTTTAGATCTTGTTTCATATTTCAGTTTTTATGATAAAAATATAGCATGCGGGTCAATAAAATCCAAACCCAAATAAATCTAAGACTTTTTGCCCTTAAAAATCTGTTCAGGGGGGCTGGCCCCGTGGCCGAGTGGTTAAGTTCGCGCACTCTGCTGGAGGCGGCCCAGCGTTTCACTGGTTCGAATCCAGGGCGCGGACATGGCACTGCTCATCAAGCCACGCTGAGGCAGCGTCCCACATGCCACAACTAGAAGGATCCACAACGAAGAATATACAACTATGTACCGCGGGGCTTTGGGGAGAAAAAGGAAAAAAAATGAAAAATCTTTAAAAAAAAGAAAAAAAAAATCTGTTCAGGGTTTGAAGAACGCTCTCAAAATTCACAAAATGTTCTTTCCATCACTCACAAAATTCAGTTAAACAAAAAAAACTGCCCCCAGAATGTTTGATTTAGTAAGTTTAGGATTCTACGTTTGAAAGGGTCATGTTAGGACCACGCTTGACTCAAATCATCCCAGACAAAGGAATCTTATTTGTAACAGTGTCCAAGATGAGCGGTAAAAAGCCTATTTTCTGTCTCCTGCTCCGGAATCTCTCAGTTGTGTGCTAAAATATGGCCACCTGGGCCTAGCAGTGAGAAACTAGTTCTCATTTCTTTTGGCATCCCCCTCCTGCCTGGCCAACCGTCTCTCCTCCCCTCTGCCTTTGTCTCTGAAGAAAATCCAAGCATGAAGGAACCTAAGAGAACCGATGTAGTATTGAGTTACTGCTTATGCTCTGGCCCCTCGTGCAAAATCCTGGCCAGACCACCTGGAAAGCTCATTTGCCTCGGCTGGGTTGGCCAGAGTTGCCTCAGACCACATACCTGACCTTGGGCACAGCTCCCAACCTTCCTCCGTGACAGTTTCTTCATCATTAAAAGGAGGCAATTGGACCCAAATTCCTTAGCTCAGCACTTCTCACTCTGTCTGTGGTGAAAGACTGGGCTTGTTGATTTTTTGTTGTTGTTGTTTGTTTTTTCTGAATTTTCAATCTATCACAAACCATACTTTTGTAAGATAAATTAAAAACTACTGGAAGAATGGAATTTTAAAAGCATACAAAATGTAAGCCAAAATTTCTTATTATTAGGTTCAATAGACATGAAGTATGTCTGTGCAACTGCTATGAACGTTTCTAAATGTTTACCGTTAAATTTCTGAACTTATCGCAGGCGAGTGTGTCATGAGCCACGTGGAACAGGCCATCTGTGCCCCCTCTGTGAGAATCACAGGCCTCGAGCACGTCCTGCTCTGGCATGCCCTGCCCTATCCTGGGCAACCTTGGAAGCAAGTGGGCCTCACCAAACTCCTTGTTTCTTTAATGAAGAAATTGACATTCTGAAAGGTCGCATATCTTGCTGAAGGTCAACACAGCTATGAGAGGCAGAACCAAAACTGAAGTCCTAGTCCCTCTAATAAACTAAGGGTCATCCCGTGGGTACCAAAGAGTTCTCTTAATTCATTTGGAAGAGGTTTTGTGGTGGGCTTACCAAGTATCCCTTGGAGAGTCTTGCTCTCCTTCACTCTTGCCCAGATCTGTCAGTGGGAGAAGAGACGAGGGCTTCTTCATGCATAGCATGGAATGATAATGCCCTTTTCAGCCAAGGCCCATTGTTTGGAGCCCATCACCATAATCCACTTACCAAATAATGTGATCTTGACTGGAAATAGGTGTTCGGCTAAGAGAGCGTGCTCTATCTGGATTGATCCAACCAAAAGCCACATTTCCCCTGCCTGTGTAGAGTGCTCCCTCCACCTCCCACAGTGGGCTCCTGCAGAGGACACCCAAGACTGACCCCTTGAAAATGGATGTCCAACTGTTTAAACAGCTGCCTGCCGGCCCTCTTGAAGCATAATCTCATAATTTTCCTTAGACCCAAGAACGTGCCTGCCAACTTGTTGCAAGCTTACCTTTCCTTGACTGTGGGCTTTGAAACGCTAAACATCTGGTGATTCTGATGTCAGATTCAACATGCATGTGCGAGGGTGTGCTATGTTCCAGGCACTCGCTGGGCAATTTACAATGTAGTGGCTCTATTCCACACGATATATTAGCGCTTGTGCCCTCCATTTTTTCAGATGGGCAAACTGTGGCCTGGAGAAGTTAAGTAACGCTCTTGGCTAATAGATGGAAGAAATTTGGAGAGCCTTTTAACAAAGGATCAGAAAATTTAATCTTTGTTTTCTCCTCTTTTCCTCTCTCTAGGATACCATCAGAATGGAGTCATCAAAAACCAGTTTGTGCCACCTTCCCACGCTCCTGGAAACCAGCGGTCAAATCAGAAAAGCCTGTACACCTCCATGGCCCGCCCGCCCTTGCCACGACAACAGTCCACTGGCTCAGACCGGGTGTCACAGGCACCAGAGAGTTTGGATTTCCTTAAAGTCCCAGATCAGGGTGCTGCAGGGTAAGATTCTCTCCTCCAGTGGGGGAAGCTGGTGACCACCATCTCCATCAATCCCACCAACATTCAGGGATTTCTTTGGGGAGTCTGTGCATGATTCTCAAGTTCCGTTTTCCACCCACATGTTGTAATCCAGGAGCCAAGGCCGTGAGGCTCTTGGTTGGCATTTCTAAAAGTATGGCCAACTTGATAGCACACATCTCATTCTCTTGGAAACATCAGAAGTGGGGTTCTCTTTAAGCCCTGAGATTTGATTACTCTGTGACTTTTTCTGCTCTCTGGCATGGTTGAGGGATAATGAGGTTTTTGATTTATTTCTCTGTCTGCATTTGCATAAACACAGCAGCTCAAAGAGTCATTAGAAACATTAAGAATAACATCCCAGCCTTCTGTGAGATGTAGATGTTTGCTTATGAATACAGATCTTCGGGGCTTTAAAATGAGGGCCTCTCTGCCTTTCTAGAACAGAAAATGAAGAGTGGTAAAAGAAACCCAGGTGTTTTAGCCTGAGGAAGTGAAGATTCCTGGAACTCTGTGTAGATATTCAAAGAGTTATCAGTGTCTTATGGGGGCTAGCCGTGTCCTGTGGAGTCACAAGGCAGAGAGCTAGAGCCAACTTCAAGACGAGCAAGTGAGCTCTGCCAGGAGGTAGATTTTGGCACCAATAAAAGGAAGAGCATTCTGCTAGCCCCAAGACGAACTACCCTAGGATGTAAGGAGCACCTTGTTGCTGGAAGTATTCAGGGATAGAGTAGATGGAAATCCCCAGGCAGGAAGTTGTAGTCTTGTCAAATATCAGATAAGGATGAGAATCCTGTTTCAGCCTCTATTACCTATCTAATATTGGACTTGCTACTTACCCTCTCTGAGCTTCATTTTCCTCATCCATACACCGATGTAATACCGCCAAGCTTGCAGGGTTTTTGGGAGGACAAGAAATAGTATACATAAAATACCTAGCACAGTACTGGGTGTGTAGGAGGCGGCTCAGTCAACTGGAGCTTGATGATGATGATGGTGGTGGCGGTTATGGTGACGGTGATGATGATACAACCGTTATCTCATGGCAGTTGAACTAATGACTTCAAGGAATCTTCCAATTCTGTGTGATTCTCAGCGGTGGAGTAGTTCTGCCTGCTGAACCTGATAATGGACTTGCTCCAGCCCACTCTTCCCCTCCCTCATGCCTACCTCTGTTTTCCATTCTCTCCATGTCTCCAGAATGATAAAGAACTTTCCAGTGTGGATCAGGAGACTTGTGCACAAGATAGAGCAGTGCTGGGAGAGAAACAACAGCTCCTTCCCCTGGGTGGGGAGCCACTCATTCCCCTCAGGCCCCATCATGAGATGTTTTCCCTGCATCGGCAGCTTCCTTCTAAAGACCACAAAGCTCTTAGGAACTTTACCATGTTCTCTGTTCCTTTTCCTCTGGCAAGTCTTAACCTCATTTGGGCTACAGATATGAAAGCACCTTAGTTTTATCCTGATGGCCGTCAGTAGAGTAGATACCACCCTTTATTACATCTCTTCCTCCCCGCCTCCCCCCAGCTCTTGTGTAGTAGCTGTGTCCCGTCAGTCCTTCCCTGAGTGGCTCCATCTAAAGCAGTAGTTCTCCAACTTTAATGTGCACCAGAATCACCCAGAGAACCCGGGTGAGATTCAGTGAGTCCAGGGTGGAGCCCAAGAATTTCCATCTCTACCAAGTTCTCAGATGATGCCAATGCTGCTGATCCAGGGCCCACATTTTGGAAACTACTGGTCTGACGGCACCTGTTGTCTCATTGATAAAGCCGGAGAAAGTTCCATGTAAAGGTGAATTAGAAGGGTGCTGTTGAGACTATGGGATTTTGACTCTGTAACCCAGACCTACACTGTTCAGATGGACGTACATCACTAAAATAAACAACCCTCCCTGGGCCAGTTTGATGTCCCAAAGTAGGCAGGGGATTAAAATTAGTCAACAAAATGCACCAAATCTCTTAGCTCTGGCTGCTAGCTTCCTACTTGCTTTGGTTTTGGCAAGCAAAACCACCTTTCCAGCCTGCTTTGCAAGTTACAGACTTGCACACCAGCCAGCTGGGAGCATCTGTCAGCCAAAAGCAGGCAATTTAGGAACACTGTGTCTTAACCGAGGCTGCTCCCTTCCAGCCCTCTGCTGCATGGTTCCCTATGTAAGCCTTAACAAACCCTTTGCCACCTTCAAGCCTAAAGATACGACATGATATCTTGGCGATGGCTATGAGGCCAGAAGGAGAAGGTACCTTCCACAACCATCTGCCAGGCAGTTAGTTCTTCCTGACTGTCTATTGTGTGTAAAACTGTTGGGAGGAAGACTGAGTCCAGTAGCTACAAGAATCCCAGCCAGCCTCCTTTTTGTGTGCTTAAATCTGCTGTGGTACAAACATTCCTTAGGAAATCGTACTGTGGTCAAAGGGCTGAGCTTTTTCTTAGTATCTTTTCTTTTTCAAACACATTAAAGGTAAAAATTAAAATAATTTCTGATGTGGCCAGAGACCTTGGACATGCATTTCAGGAGCCTTGTGGTGACCTACATTTAACAGCTCCTTTTTGCCAAGAAACCTGAATTGCAATTATTCCACAGGAGGTTGTTGGAGCAAGTGGGGAGTTTGGGCATCCCGAGCTTGTACCTTTCCATAAACATGAACATTCTTGTAGACATTCCTGTATACGTCAAATGACCTACAAACACAAGATTACCACGGTCTTTCTCTCCTTGGGCTTTCACATCCTTGGGTGCGTCTTTCCTTTCCCTCTCCCACCCCCTCAATGCACTTTTCTTTATAGACGTATTTAGCATAAGCAATCATTTCTTTTGGATCCTGTAATGTAGATAAAGTCAAATGGTGTAATTAGCACTTCAGTTAATTCAGGAAAGTCTTTGTCAGTTTATTTTAGGTTCAGTCAGGGTGGTTTTTTTTTTGGTGAGAGCATGAAGCCTTCACTAAATTAATTACCATCCCAACTTGATCCTTCACCCTTGCCTTGCCACGTTTGTGACATGGTGGCTATTCTTGTTGTCATTATTATCATTGTCCAAGAAAACTATGAGGGATGCAGAGGGAATCATTATCTTGCATACTTTTTGAAAAGTCTGATTTAGGTTAAAGAATTTTCCTGATCTTCAGGGAAAGAGAAGACATCAAGCAAGAATCATATCCACAGGGCCAGCCAGGTGGTGCAGCAGTTAAGTTCACACGTTCCGCTGTGGCGGGCCAGGGTTTGCCAGTTCGAATCCCAGATGTGAACATGGCATTGCTTGGCACGCCATGCTGTGGTAGGCATCCCACATATAAAGTAGATGTTAGCTCAGGGCCAGTCTTCCTCAGCAAAAAGAGGAGGATTGGCAGCAGTTAGCTCAGGGCTAACCTTCCTCAAAAAAAAAAAAATATCCACAATTCATTCATCAGCCTTTGCTCTGACTTCAGGGGAACACTTGCTTTGCCAATCAAGGGTGCTTTATATATTCCCTCCTATAACTGAGATGTACATAATCTACCTCCAGTTCGTTACTGGAAGGATTAAAACCCAGACTGGAAATGTCTTTTCCGTTGGCCTTTTTAATCCTGCAGTCCATTTCACGGGAGGACAACTTCAGGAAATTTCAAGATCCTCCAGAGATTAATCCAACTAGACGTTGGAGAAACAGAAAAATATTGAAAGTTCTCAGTGGTAGGGCTCCTGGCCATACCACAAAAGAGGGATCGATAGAAAAATTTAAATGCTGCCTGGATGTCTCTTGACAAGATTCTACTAATGAAGTCATATTTTCAAGGGGCTTAAAGTTTCCAACAAGTGTCCAAGGGCAATATTTCTCAACCCATAATCGACAGGAGTGGCAGCCGTATCCTGGCCCAGGCAGACATGAAGCTGAGGAATTCCTGGCATCCATTCCCACATTTCCAGTAATGTTTATAGATTCAACCTTTTGGAACAGAACATATTTTAAAGAGCCAATGAAATAAAATGCCATTATTTTCCTTCTTGGAATTTCAAGACATAAATTTCACATCTGCAGAACAAAGAAGTGATATTTAAAGCTGAATCCCAGCTCGCCTTTGCATAGACTAGGCACACCCGCTGCCCCGGGGGTGTGGGAGCTGCAGAGAAGTTCCCCAGAAGCGGCCTGTGGTGTGCAGAGAGCACGGGATTCACGCTTACACGGACTGGGTGTGAGTCCCAGTTCATTTGCTCGTTCCTTTGTTGATTCATTCATGGAATATTTACTGGGCCACGTGCCTTCTGTGTGGCATGTGCTGGGCACGTGGATCGTTTGGTGAATTACCAGCTGTGCTGCCTCACGTTTGTCACTTAATCTTTCCACGCTTTGGTGTCCTCACTTGTATAATAGGGGTAGTAATATAATTTTAAAGCCCACCCCTCAGGCTTTCTTGAAGATTAACTAAGAGCTTTATAAACTATAAAGCACTATGCAACTTGAAAGTTTATTTTTTTACTTTTTTATTTTTTTGAGGAAGATTAGCCCTGAACTAACATCTGCCGCCAATCCTCCTCTCTTTGCTGAGGAAGACTAGCCCTGAGCTAACATGCATGCCCATCTTCCTCTACTTTATATGTGGGATGCCTGCCACAGCATGGCTTGACAAGCGGTGCCGTGTCCTCACCCAGGATCTGAACCAGTGAACTCCGGGCCGCTGAAGCGGAACATGCACACTTAACCACAGCGCCACCGGCCCAGTCCCTGAAAGTTTGTTTATATTTGTTTTTTTACTGTTATTCATGTGCTTTGGCCTTGCAGGGAAATATTAATATTCTACCAGGATTGAAAAGTGGGTGTCCCCAGGCCCAGTGGCTTTGCTCTCAAGAGCTCAAATCTCGGGCCTGCTTAGAGCTCTGGACTCCGTGGGGCTCCAAGCTTCAGGCATTGTTGGCTCAACTGGGGAGAATGGGCAGCCTCGGGAAGCCGACACAAGGGGACCCGTCAGGGAGACACCTTCTCCCTCCCCCGCCACACACATACACAC